ATCTGAAAATGAATGGAATCATAAATGCAATTTTATTCTAGAGACAAAGGTGCAGTGCAACGAAAACAAAATCAAAGACAAAAAAATGAAATCTCGTGAAGGGAAAGGAAATTCGAATCGAAAAGGAAAACTGAGATTTGAGATAAGAAAGAGAAGGTCGCTGGGATGAGATTATGAGAAGTAGAAGTTAGAATTAAGAAGAAATTAAAGAAAACGGATGAGGTTGGGGTTAAAGGAGGACGTGAGAATTAGGAAGGAAAAAAGAAAGGATAGGTTAGAGGGTATTATTGTCATTTGATATAGTAGAAGTTGCCATTTTAAGTAATGGGAAGATAATTTTAGGACAGCCTGAAAAGAAAAGTGAGAAGTTAAATTTAGGACGGAGGGAGTATAATTTGTATATTAAAAAATTATAGAAATTATATATTAATAATCTATATGTTAAGACAAATCAAACAAGATCACACAATGACTATATTTAGGTTTATACATTGAGAGAATTTGATGAGTCAAAGTGCTTAGATGACCAATTCCAAAAGTCAAAACTGGACGAATCCTCCGGAGGGGAGTATTAGAGTAGACCTCGCCCGGAACATATACACGAGTTGGGAGGAGTATGATTACAAGAATTATTATATTATAAGTTGAATGAATGAACTAATAATTACAAGAATGATCATAAGAGTAAATGTTATATATGAATAATAATAATAATGGAAAAAATAACCGCCGGCGACTTGAACGCCGTCGGAGAGCTCTCAGCCAGATACATCCATATATAGGCGCATCTGGAAGAACCGAAATGGTTAATCTTTCATAACTCCTAATAGTGAGTGAGCTTTCACTGGAATCAGTTGCCTCTTCAATGCTTGAGAATTCGGGGAAACAACTAGCATTGACAGCTCATTATTGTATCTTGAAGATGCTCTTCAGTTTCCTAAGCAGATCCCTTTCTTCGTCAGAAAGATCTTTCTGTATGATTTAGAAACAGAAGAAGAAATAAGTTTCGGCATACACGACTTAAAAGAGCACGTTCCCTAAAAAAAGAGAGAGATTAACAACTGTTTGAATACCCTGAAATGTTCCTTGACTATGTCAATTGATCTCCTAGAAATCTTGCTGACGAGTTCATCTTTCTCGCCAAAATGTCTGCCAAACATCTTCTGTTGCTCTTCAGAATTTGACCCAACGATCTGTGACATCAACATGGTTTAATCAAAGTCATGTACCAAGTATATCCGGTTATGAGTAGTGGGAAGGACATTAAAGCACCCTTGGTCTTCTTAGTGACAAGTAAAAATGCATTCCCTCAAAACAAATTGTACCTGGATACATACCTTAATGCACACTCTTTCTCCTTTCTTTGCAGAGCTGACAGGTTTATGGTTGTTTTCGATAGAAGCAATTCGACCAATCTCAACAAAGCCCTTTGAAGGAATACAAATAGGAGTCCCAACCTGAAAGAATCGCAAAACAATGAACAAACCTCGTTATACATACACACACACACACACACAAACACACACACACACTCGTTATACATACATACATACATATAAGGCCTTGCAGATACACTTTGTGAAGTCATTATCGATTGTGCTGCAATTTTATGTGGTTAGCAAACCATTTGTGCTGAGATTACACACTTGCACTTGTGTTTTTTATCCCCACAAGCCAACTTAATTGAGAACATATTTGATGCCTTTGGATGAGATTTTCATTCACCACAATACGTGATTGAATTACCAAACATTACCTGCTTTTAAGTTGTAATAAAAGCTTAACTAGCCAAACACTAACCCAGGTGGCATATAACTTACACAACTCTGTAATCAGTTAACAAATATCCAACCTCAAATTATCAATGCCAAACAGGACCAATGAATGTGTATGACAAGACATCAGTTAATGCCGACTACTCGACTAAAAGAAACATGAAAAGTTTCGTGATATCAGGACAAAACAGTGTTTGATGCTAACTACGATTGGTTATCTTAAGAGATTAAAATACAGAGCATGAACCAACAATTACTACAGATGGATATGTTAATTACCCGAGCTATGCCTTTAAGAACATCAATGCCCAGAATGATGGGATTCTTCGTATTGAAAATACTGCGAGGTGCAATCTTAAGAACACAGGGAAACACTGCTTCCTCAGCAACTTCCTTCTTCTTTTCCTCCTTGAGATTATCAATGTAGGCTTTGAATTGATCAAACAAATGATATATAATATCAGCAATGAAAATCTTCACACCATATTCATCTGCAAGTTCACGAGCCTCTTGAGTGACTTTAACATCGAAAGCAAGGATTGTTGCATATTCATTCTTCTTCTCAAGCATGGCACTAGCTTTCATGACATCCTTTTTATGTACCGGTCCTATCCCAATGCCAGAGACTGGTATGCTAACGTCAGGACTCTTAAGAAACTCCAGCAAAGCTTCTAGTGATCCAAGCGTAGATGCCTGAACATAAACACCCTCCCCACTCTTAGCAATCCTGCTCATCACTGACCTCATGTCTTCCATAGCTGCTTCTTTTATACGATCCACATCGTCATCTGGTCCCACAACATACAAACTAGTGCCTGCAATAGCATGCTCAAGGCCCTGCACAAGAATACATTGCAAACAAATTATAGACAGTTAGACACACACACAAACACAGACAACACACACACACATAGACACACACATACTCCCTCGTCCCAATGACACACATGTAACCCAATTGTGCATAGTTCCTAACAGTATGGGTGTGCACTCAACTTCAAAATCTAGAAACCTAAACCATGTTTATGATTTATTCAAGAACAAACTAACATGTCAAATAATTTCCCTACTGGTAACGAAAATGACATAATGTGAAAATTACTACAAAAAAAAGATGCAATGACCACAACATGGATAACTGTGATTAAGAATTTCTGTAGGGAAATACGTAGGGGAACAGGGAGTAGATTGCAAAAGGAAACTGTATTAAAATAAAGTAACGTAACAACATTAAATTTACTCACACAAATAATACTTCATAACCTATAGATGTTCTCATGCCATTTACATGTTTGGGAATCATGAAATTATGCAAAAAAAACATACTTCTATTAGAATATATATTAGCATGTAGTTGAAAAATTACAAACGTACTAGCCAATACCTGTGCAGTAATCTTTATGCCCTGTGCAGCCTTGATTTCTTTGTGGTGCAAATATGTACCCTGCAAACGAATTAGAAACCCTTAGTAAGATTATTTATGCATCACATAAAACCTAAGGCTACATGCATATTTCATTTGTCAATTCCATATATGTTCTTAATCTAAAAAGAATTCCTTTTGTTATAGACCCTCCGTTGAATGCAGTGAGAAGAGCATAGTTATCACAAGTAAAAAAATGGTTACTTAACATTGAATGTATACAACCTTAATAATAACAAGAATCACAAGAAGAATTGGCACTAACCTTCACTCGAAGTTCTTTCATTGGGTGAGGAGTCAGCAATGCCCGGATGGTGGTCACGATAGGTTCACCCTTAAACATCAAAAAAAGAGGTTTAGTCATAAATAAAAGTGCAACAACAATTTCCAGAGTATAGACCATATTAAGGCATTATTTTTACCTGGGTGCCACAAATCACTATTTGGTCTCCTTCATGAAGCACCCCATTAACTAGTACCACATCAATTGTAGTCCCATGGCCTTCAATAACCTTTACCTCCAGGACAGTACACTGCCAGAAGGTAACAACATTCAGAACGACCTACTTTCACAGTATATTTCCGAGAAACTCAAACAAGATATATGAGGAAAGCATGCCTGGACTTCATTGCTAAATGTAAGTCTCTCAACCATCGTCTTTTGAGCCCAATGGACAAGTAATAGCATTAAGTCAGGAATACCTTCACCACTGTTAATTAAGAATGGCCATAACATCAGTAAGGTTTAAAAAATGATGTTGGCATTGGGGAAAAAAAGGCCCAATTCAAAAACGGAAATTTGTAAATATATATAATACAACATATAACTCATGCACCATAAACAGGAAATGAATAAATGGAATCACCTCACGGCACTAGTGGGAACAATGCTGAATGTATCTTTACCCATATCTTTGTTTTTATAATACAATTCTGAATTCACACCTTGTTCTTTGAACTGTGTCACTATCTGAAATTCAAAATGCTTCCATAATAAGCTAAGCAAACCAATGTCAATTTAGAGGATTAAAGTCATTGATAAATAAAAATAGTTTGAGCATGACCTGAATGACCCGTTCATTAAATTCACGCACTACATCCGCATTCTGTTGTTTCATTGCCTTCTGAATAGGTGTGTTACTGCAAATTTTCCATCCATAGAGCCTGTCAACCTAATTTAAAAAAAAAACAATTTAAAAATGCATCTTTAAACTCATCACAAGAAGCCAATAAAAAGGGCAGTATCATTTTATTAAACTCACCTTGTTTAAAGCAATGATGAACTCTATTTTCCTCATCTTTAGAAGATTGAGTGACTCGATAGTCTGCTTCTCTAATCCATGCATAATGTCCACAACTAAAATGGCAATATCGCACAAACTAGACCCTCGAGAGCGGAGATTAGTAAATGACTCATGCCCTGGGGGTGTCAATAACCAATAAACCAGGTACCTTCAGTGTAGCACCAGCTTTAAGCTCCCTAGTTCTCTCTCTTATATTCTCTGCAGGAAAGTAAGTAGCACCAATCTGCTGAGTAATACCTCCTGCTTCACCTTCTTGGACATTAGTGCCTCGTATGCAATCAAGGAGTTTTGTTTTCCCAGCATCAACATGACCCATAATACAGCAAATGGGAGAACGGAGGCTCTTTTCTCTCATGTCTGGCAATGCAACAAGTTTTTGTTCTTCCTTTCTTTCTTGACCATTTTTCTCCATGCTTTCAAACTCCCTTCTATTAGTGACCTCATTTTTAGATACAACAGTTGCAGTTACAGGGGCTTGTTTGGAAGCAATGGAATGACAAAGGGCTACCTGTGCAATCTTTGTCTGTCTTCTAGCTAATGCTTTGGGTTCACCATCTACCTCCTCATCAGAAAATGCCCTTCTACCGGGGAGTTTGAGATCATCTTCATCCCAGCTTTTTTCTTCCCAATCGTTGTCATCTCCATCTTCACCAATTCTATTTTCTTCGTCATCAGCATTCTCTGGTTTGTCCTCTGTCTTCAGTGAATCCACTTCTTCAACCTTGTCTGTTTCCATAGGGTGAACCTTGGGTATAAATTCCTGCTCGGCTTCCTTCACATCACTTATTTCAGCCGTGGCAGCAATAGAATTATCATTTCCATGGGATTGTTGTTTCACCTTCTTGGTTTGGTACTTGGGCCGTTTTGTTCCGTCTGCACCAGTCTCTCCAACAGGGAGTGGTAAGCCCCAAGCATTTGTGAGTATTTGCTTTCTCATCATTTCTAGTCTGCGAGCTTCTTCCTTCTGCTTTCCGGTCAGCAACTTCCCCTCTTGCCTCTTCTTTAACATTTTTTCCTTCTCCCTCTCCTTTTTTAAGCGTTTCCTTTCCTCTGCAAGTCTTTCTAACTCCTCTAGCCGTAGACGTTCTTCTTCTTCTTTCCTCAACTTTTCCTCCTCTTCCCTTTTCTTCCTCTCTTCTGCTTCTTTGAGTTTGGCAAGCCTCTCTTGCATCTCTCTGACATGTTTAGGGATTTTTTTATCGGCCTTACCCTTGCCATTGGTTTTTGCTTCCTGCTTTTCCTCAATCACAGGTGCAACTGCCACTGCTGCCGCCGCCTTTTTTTCCTTTTCTTTTTCTTTTTTCTTTTTCTTCTTCTTAGCAACCACAGACTCAACCACCCTCTCCACTGTTTCCATCTCAGAAATATCTTCTCCTGCTTCAAGAAGATCCTTGTCTTTTTCCTCTTGTGGAGAAGGAGCAGGGTCAAGTTTTGATGTTTGAATAGCCTCTACCGGCTCGGCCAAATTGCTGTCGTATTCATCCTCCTCTTCATTCTTTTCCCCACCCTTCTTTTTCTTAGTTTTACCTTTCGGTTCAGGTTGTATCGGTAACTTTTCTTTGGAAGGAGGTAGAGGACTAAGAGAAGGAATAGGTGAACCTTCGCCGAGCTCAGCAAGAATCCTTTCAATTTCATCATCATTTTCTTGAGCTGTATTTCCACCCTTATGCTTCTTAGAATTGGTCTTGGAAATGCCTTGAACCTGCTTGCTTTTTGTTCCTTCTATTTCTCTGTGGCTTCCAGCTAAGCTCTGTTTGCCAAAACTAATGGCATGAGGTGCCTTGTCTATGGACTCTCCCTGGAGGGTGTTGATTGCAGAATCATTCTTCTTTTTAGATGACTTCTTTTTACCCGAAAACATAATCACACATGTACCATCTTCTTCTTGAGCACTGGCATCTTCAAATGAATCAGTGCCTTTAGAAAAGGATGCAACATCACCAAATGAACCGGTATCCAGATTATTAAAGCTGGGATCCTCATCGTTGTCCAAATAGAACGGATTACTCGGTCTCGATGTTTTCTTTTTCTTTCCAGTAAAGATAGCAATGGGATGGTGTTCAATTTCTTCATCAATGGCATCATTGTCACTATTCCCTAGCTTCTCAAGTCCATCAAACATCGATGCGGCAGAAACACTTTGACCTGCACTCTTACTAGATTTTGAAGTATTCTTCTGACCCCCCATTTTCAAACTGCAATAATAAAAAAATTTAGTGAGACACATATGATTCTTGAGGTGACAGGGTCGCATTGCCGGATTGAATAAGGCAAAGTAGTAATAATGAAACACTAAAAATATAACCCAAAATGTAAACAAAAGCAATGCTTTCTTAATTAGCACATGACAAATAATACAAATATAACAAAATATACTTCCGGCTAAAATTTGTGCACAGCTCATATAGTTGAACGACCAATTGTGGGTTTTAGCCTATACTCCCTAACCAAAGGCAATGCAGAAAACAGAAAATTGAGCGAATTTGATCGGCAAAAGAGAATTCCGCAATAAAAATGCATGGAAAGAAGAGTAGACATTTGCAAAAGCAGACTAAAATTATAGTATAAAAATAAGCAGAAATAGAACGGAAAGTATGGTTCGAGAAAGGCGGCTTACCTGTAATCCTCTTGTAGGCGTGGAAGGCTAGAAGCGCCGGGAAAGAGCGTCGCTCCGGCAACTCCGAAGGCCGCCGGTCACAAGCAACCGCACGAATCACGAAACAGACTCTCTAATGGCAGATTTTATATGGCCGAGTAATTAAAAATTCCTAATTAGATTAGAATTAGAACTAACTCCCGAAAACCACGTAGCCAACAGTCTTTTTTTAGGCTTCAAGACGCCCCAACTCCCAATTACTTCGCCCTAACCCATTTCATTTGGGCTAAAACTCTTACTCCCTCCGTCTCAAAAAGATTTAAGAAATCATTCAATATAGCAACAATTACTAGTTTAAAATACATTCATAGCACTCCCATCTCTTTTTATACTTTTTTAGCACTTCTAACGCCATTCCCTTTTGTAATATTCTAATTTTAGTCTTTCCAATCCAATTTAGCAGTAACTTCCACCGAATGAGGAGCGAGAGCTATGCATCACATTCCCCCACTTTCTTCTCCACCTGCGTAAATTGAGGAGGGAGTTATACCTGAGCCGTTACAATCTCATCGCCTAATACTGCGCTAAACCATGAATATTCCACCTCCAAAATCATACAATCGCAGGCAGCACCTTCGCCGGCTACATCACTCGAAACATCACAGGTCTCGGATTCTCCTACCCAATTCTAGAGAGGGACGCAGCATTCTAATTAGTTTCCGCAGAATTTCGCAGGAAGCTCACATCGCCCAATCCCCCATCTGCAACATTCAGGTTTGTAATGCATTTTCTATTATCCATCACACATCATCAGACACCTTCCTAAATTTATCTCATATATAATTTTTTACTTTAATTTCTTCTCAATTCATCCGAAATTATGTTTTTATGTGTTTTGTTTGGACGTGACTGTCTATTGCTTTGTTCAAACCCTTGATTAGACATTAGGTTCCTCTTATCCCCCAATTCTTAGGTATTTTGTCAAAATTTCTCTTTTTGTTCAATACCATCTTTAACTTGCTTCACTGAACTTTTCAGCAACTTTAATTAAGCAGTGTTGCAGAAAAACAACCGTGCATTACACTTCTACTGACTCCGAGTTGTTCATGCTAATTAACTCATCCCAAAAATCAACAGTTTTCAATGCAAAATGTTACTTTTTGTTGCCTGCATTCTTCGTATGGAAGGTCGTAGCTATATATTAAGTATTACAAGATCTAGTATTTCACTCAACGTGATGCTATCTTTAATTGGGAAAAGAACTAAATCGTTTTCCTCAATGTCTCTAACCATGTCATTTTTCTCTGTTCAAGGCTCAACAATCATGATTCACATATTAACCTATTGGTGCGGGTCGATGGAATGTGGGATACTCTTGGCAATTTCAGTTCAAAGTATGACACTGTTATTGATGTCCATGTCGAGACCTCTCCAAAATCACTCATGGACACTGTTAAAGCACACATTGCAATGGACTGGTCTCAAAATGATGTTCGTTTCTCTTACATGGTTGCCTTGTGTCCACTGCCTATCGTCATTTCTGATGATGCTGAACTACTCTTCTACCTCAGGTTGAAGTCTTACCAAAACAACATCTCATACCTGCCATTATGCATGGAGGTTCTACCTACCGTTACTGCAGGTGATGTTTCTGCTCAAGACATATCATCATACCCACCTCTACCTGTTAGTAACACGGGTTACACTCCACATACTATGGTGTGCACGGCCAACCTAACGGGGCAAAGCAATCCAAATAACCTGCAAAGCTCAACCTCTAATGTAAAATCTGATTCCTCGAAGAATATGAAGCAAACCAAGCGTACCAAACGTAATGCAAAATCAGTGGACGTCCTTTCACACTATCACCCGACCACTCTTCAACTTGACAGCATTTATAAGTCCAAGGAAGACTTATGCCACCATCTTCAAATGTATGCCGTCTCTAACAGCTTTTAGTACAAGACAAAGAGGTCGAATAGGACAGTGTTGCATGTTGTATGTATCGATGACCGGTGTTCATGGGCTGTGCGCGCGGTCAGGCTTGACAATACTCCATTATTCCAGATACGCAGGTAATTTCTAATTTTAGTGACTTAAACTTTACTGTACACATCATTGAACAGAGCCCCATTGTGCACTCACTTCCATTTGTATTACTGTCGTAACGTGTTTACATTCCATTTTCGCAATGTCCTAACATCCATGGGAATAAAAAATGGCAGTTTTTCCCACTTACCAAACCCCCCATTCCAAAGTTGTCCAGAACCACACAATACAATTCCTACATTACCAACACTGCACACCTGCATGTCCACACACATATTCCGCAGTAATTTCTTTACTTTGGAAATATATATCATTGATTACATACCAAACTTCCGCAGTGCGCATACACTTCCATGCCCTTTACCATATCACACCTTCAGAGTCCTTTTTTGCAAGCTCTTAACTTACACATTACCAAAACATAGAAGGCAGTGTTGGACCCCCCCTAAAACTCCATGTTTTTTTCACAGACCACTGCCCTACCATGCAATACACTGCCCACGTCTCCCTGTGTGCGTATAAACACAACAAACACTTTGGCATTTCACACACCCTTTTCCAACCATTCTAGCCACACACAGTTCCACTTCAATTTTGTAATCTTAAAAACCACCTCATCCATTAATATGCAGAACTACTCATTTTTCATTTAACCCATTGCCACGGATCATGTGACAATGTTTTTTTTCCAGGTTTGATTCATATCATTCATGCCCTGTTGACTTCCGGGAAGGTGATCATAGACAGGCAACGTCAGCATTCTTAGCCGACCTGGTCCTACATCGTTATGTTGATGCTACTAGGAAATAGTACCCCCCTAACGACATACGGGACGACATGCGACGGGAGTTTGGCATTGCAATGTCATATAGGAAAGCATTACTCGTGAAACAGAAGGCATTGAAGAAGTTGTATGGCTCTGATGAAGAATCATACCAGCTTCTACCATCTCTTTGTTATATGCTGGAGACGAAGAACCCTGGATCTTCTATCCATTTGTATAGGTCTGAGGATCAGAGATTCAAATATTTGTTCTTCTCTTTAGCACCGTGGAGACAAGCATGGAATCATTGTGCCCCAGTTCTCGTCATTGACGGGACATTCATGAAATCGTATTACAAAGGAACACTATTAACTGCCTGCTGTCAGGATGCCAATAAACAGCTTGTCCCCATTGCTTTTGGAATATGTGATTCAGAAGATAAGGACTCATGGCTGTGGTTTCTTACTCAATTGAAAACCACACTGACCCCAAGGCATGACCTTTATATTGTCTCTGACCGTCACGAGGGGATCCTCCATGCTGTTCAAAACATTTTCCCAAACGCAGGTCATGGGTTTTGTACTGAACACATCACCCGAAACTTGCGCGGTAAATTCAAAGGTCCTAAAGAAGACTTAACTTGGAAGTTTAGGAAAGCATCACGTGCACCAACCGAGGTGGAGTGCGAGGAATACCTCAAAATGCTGGATGAGCAAGACCAAAGAATACGCTCATACCTCTCCCAAATTGGTGAATCAAGATGGGCATGCTGTAAAAGTGGTCCATTCCGCTACTCTGTAATGACGTCCAATGCAGCAGAATCAATGAACAACGTCAACAACTCGGCACGTGAATACCCCATTTGCAAGCTAGTTGATTTCATTCGCGAAAGGATGCAGAAATGGTTTCACGATCGGTTTGAAACAGCCTCATCTACATCAACTATTCTACCAAAGAAGCTTGAGTCCGAGTTAATTACGTTACAACGTGATGCATTCAAGATGAAGGTACACACTGCTTATCCATCCATACACTGCGTATTATACACAATACAAGTACAATGCAATCACCCCCCCCCCCCGTATACGTTCCTACCTTGCATTGTTAACACTCTAATTCCTTGTAGGTTAAGCCATCATGCCCATACGAGTTCGAAATTGTTGACCGGTGGACCCGAAGTTATGTGGTTAACCTTAGAGACAAGTCGTGCACATGTGGGGAATTTCAATTGGACCATTTTGTATGTGTCCATGTTGTGGCAGCAATAGGAACTCGTCCAGGACTATCATGTTATAATTTCATCTCACCTTACTACAAACGCGAAGCATTGGTAGCCACCTACAGCGACATTGTGCACCCATTAGGAGACAAGTCTTCGTGGGACATCCTGACTAATGTCAAATCACTTCTTTGCAAGCCCCCATCATGCACTAAGCGCCCCCCCTGGAAGGCCAAAGAAGAGGAGGCTACCGTCTGTGGGTGAATTTCACTCCGGGAAAGGTCGGAAAAAACAAAAGTGCACCCGCTGCTTGAAGGTCGGACACAATATGAAAACATGCAAAAACCCAATCCCAACATGACACTGATTGTTTCTTTATTATATGTGTGCGTTGCTATAGCCAATTTCCTTCCACATGTAATAAAAAACGCATTCTTTTAGACATCACTGTCTGCTTACAAACTTCTTGAAAGGTTGCATTTGTTTTAATCCTTTTTTAAATCATATGGTATAGAATTTCATTAGCCACCCACTGACAATAAAATGTTACAATGCACACATTAAAAAAACAATAAAAAAACATACACACCAAAAAAACGTGTAGGAATCTACACTGCCATCAATATATTACCCCTGTAACAACTCTAAAAATAGAAATGGTATAAACCCCTCTCCACATATCCACGCCTAACACCCCCGAATTCACTCACATATCACAATGCGGCAGTGGGACACTACTAAAGAACACAAATTAACAGTTCGCAAATTTATAGTCTGGAAACCACCCCAACCTCCAAAATAAAACGTAGTGTAAAGCCAAGCACCACCCTCAGTTTCTACATTTGTGCACAATCAAACCCTACACGCAAAACGTTACACAGAATGGACACACCCACAACTGAAGCTTGTCACACCATTACCAACATCTATTACGGGGGGGGGGGGATGGATACACTGCTATCTTACCCCACACGTATAGCGCGGCCTTGTGAAAAAAAGGAATACCAAACTAACTATGCCTATAACAAAATGTAATGCCATAACTATACCCCAATACTATCACAGACACACTGCAAGCCCACCCAACCTACCCACCAAACCAAATGCAGTGTGTCACTTCATTGAGAAATCAATGCACACTGCCCGCAGCACATTTTCATACTCCCACACCCAAATCCACCCCACATTTAGCACAAGAATACTAGCGGTGTATATCCATTTCAATAGCAAAATTGTGCCCCCGGCAGTGTACAATGTGACAAATGCACACGATCATCATATAAAAACAAGCATTTAGGAAACCCCTACTATAACACACACTGCAAAACACCAAATACCGAAACAAATGAATCAAACATTCCTCCACTGCAAAATATAACTGCCATCACAACAAAACTGCACACCTGCATGTCCACACACAGATTCCGCAGTGATTTCTTTTCTTTGCAAATATATGCCATTGATTACATAGAAAACTTCCGCAGTGTGCACACACTTCCATTCCCCAAGATGATTGGTAACTAAACACACGATATTTAACTAAAGTTACTTCAAATGAAACAAACATTGCACCACTGCAAAATAACACTACCATAAAGACACAAATAAACTACAATGGACGCATCCATTCCAAAAAACACAACATCCAAAAACAACACCTCCAAAATCTGTTGAACCAGAACATGGATCAACACAGAACAATGTGTCTGACGGAAAAAAATCAAAATACAAAACCAACTAGAATCCATGCAAATACCATACTACCAAACACCCAAACAACAATGCATACTTAAAAACCATGTCAAATGCTAACTACACGCCAACAAATAAAATCATGTGATGACTACGTGTCTTTCGCTTGCTCTTTTCGCTCATTACTGTACACAATGAGCTCTGTAGTCATCTTCACACGGTACGCCTCCATATCACGGGAGTGCACCTCAGAAATGTGTCGGTCCATCATTAAGTACTCGGCAAACTTCAACATGAACATTCCACAGTTGCACCTGTATTTTTTAAACACAATCGTTAACGCTAATAATCACCCGACTATTGTCAACTACTTGAAATTTAACAGAACTCGCTCAACAGAAACTGTAACATTACCACATACCCGTCATCTTGTTGGGGACATCTGTCAATGATATTGATAGAGAACTTCCGATTCCCCATCGGCCCATCAGTGTGCTCGCCATACACACCCAATAAATCAAGTAGGACCGGCAGCAATTCTGTGACACACTGCCCATATCCATTCAATGACCGACAAACTTTTCCCCTTTTCCCTTTCGAATCATACACCCTTATTGTCCTTCCTTCAACTTCTAGGACCAGCAATACCGAGTGATTACCTGTATTTAAGGGCATATACACAAAATCACACTCAGCCCATGGCCTAGAATATTCTCTTGCCAATCCCTTAACCTCACTTGTTAGATTCAGATTATCCATGACCCCCTCCTTCTTGGCCTTCCCAACATTCACCATTTCTTGATGCGTATACAACCTTTGTAAGAAATAAGGGGTTGTTTTCGTGTACATCTGCAAAAGTTCATACTGCCTGCCCTTCACTTCCAGGAAATACATTGCAATTTCAACATGTTGTACAACAATAAAGATCACACAGAAAATCAAAACTCAGAAACCAAAAAACCAAAAAACAAAAACACCACAACTCTGAATTAGAAACTTTGCACATGGGTCACACTCATAAATAAATTACCATACCGTGCTGCTTAACCATTCAGTGTTTGAAAACAGCTCATATAGCCATGTCTTGCTATCCACCGTAAAACCATCTAGTACAATGGGATCTTTGGACATGTTCTCCACCTTGCTCGTATACCTACATGTCCTGTTCCCCCGTCCGTGCCTCTTTAAAAAGCCTTCATTCAAAAATGATCTGACCTTCTCTATCTCATCCAAGTCAGGCATCTCCTTCGGGTCTTTTGAAAACGGGCCATAGCACACACCTGTCTTATCACAGTTATGACGTTGCCTAGCACGTTCCAATCGTTCAAGCTTCCGCCTCTTCTTGTCTTGCTCGGCCTCCAAGGGAGTATACCTTTCAGGACTTTTATGAACCCTTTTGGGGCAATCAATCTCAACGCATGCACTGTTGGAATTTGAGGGTGCAGAAAACGCCTAGCAGAAAAATTCCACAAACGTCACAGAAAAAAGTAATCATGATGTAGTACACAAACCCACTGCCAGAACCTTACCATGCCCAGTTATTAAACTATATGTTAGTATAATGATTCATGTTTTATCCATTATATTTTTTAACTGCATTTTAAAAAAAACTAACCACCACAGGGTCTTCACCACCCTTCACTTCCTGCACCCCACTGCCCAACCGGCTGCCTATGAAGATTCGGTCGAAATCATCATCATCCATGCTCACCTTCTGTGCTCCTTCATTGACATGATGCCCCAGTTTGACTTTGGGTGACCCACTTAAACCCTGGGTAATTACAATGTTAAATATAGGTATTCGTAAATCGAAAAACTCAAATTAGTCGAAACACATATGTAAACCCACAAAACAGATTACAGTCATGACCAACCCCAAATGAAGCATCAGCGTTTACCGGTACTTGCACAGCTGTTTGCATGGAAACTTCACCAACTTTAATCAAAGGCTCACCAGCATCTACGCTTACCTTGCACATTGCACCCCCCCACACTGCCGCTCATCCCGTTCACCCGAAACCAGACGAACCTGCCATTCAAAACCAATTACAAATCACCTATCAATATGTCAATTTTCACAAACATTACTAGGCATAAATCAAAAAACAAAAGAATATAAACTCAAGACTTTACACTTCGGGCATTCCGTAATGAAATAATCGCCCCCTCGGTTTCTCTATCAATACGATCTAGTTTGTGAGGATCGTATTGAGTCTCAGTGTAGGGGATATCCAAACACTTCCCCTGCTTTGCATCATCATGATCTTCTGCCAACGATACATTACCAGTTTCGTCGTATGCCACTTCATCACCAATCGCAGCTTCTTTCGGCATTTGTGTCAGATGATCAAACGATGGACCACCGACATCAAAACTCAGCTCTAGATCATCCCCGTTTTTTAATACACCATGTGTATTCCCCGCACCAGAAGGTACTGCCTCTTGGACCTTAACTTCATCATTGCCTCCCATCAATGAACCTTTCCCTGATGCTGAACCAGCTTCAACAGATACATTTCTCTATTTCAGAATGCCTAAAATCTCATCCAGCTTACTGTCTTGCACCACTTGTTTCTCCTTTATCTGTTTAATCTCCTCCACAATATTCATGTGATCACAACCCTTTATTGTCACACAATCCTTCTTGCCTCTACGACCCACCACATTATCAACTTTTTTCGCACTGTCGCACTCAACCTTCTTTACCCCGGCCAACTTCTCAGCCCCATCATCTAATCCTTCAGCTCTCATCTTGCCCAAAGCATCTCGTATGTTCACCTGCTTCTCCGTCACATTCCGAACCCTTTTCGTAGCACTCAGCGACAACTTCCGCTTACCCTTCACCGAAGAAGTGATTCTAACCTGGAAAAGCTCTTTAACACTCTTCATCAACATCTCTGCGGCTGTTGGCTCAACTTCTTTCACTACAACCTGCATGGGAAAACAACATAATTAATGCGCACAATGTAATAAAAGAACAGAAATATAACAAAAAAAACCCTAACCTTCCCAGACTTAAACAGTGCTTCAGATACTTTCGCAGCATTGAATTTCCCACTGATCTTCCACCTCAAACATCGGGGTATTGAATTCGCCCTTCCATGTCCTATCTCACACATCCCAGCCTCTTCCAACGCTAGGAACGTCTCGAACGCCCACACTTGTAATGCAAACATGTAGCCTCCAAATGTCGGCCTACTGCTACCACCCTTTTCAATACAAACAGCACATCTATACACATGATCTACTAACTCCGACCAGACGTCATCCCCCCATGGGTAACTATTGAACTCATCAATATCATCAACCAGGTTCAGATAACACATCGGCAAATTAACAGATGGCTGGTTACCAAGAAATGAGTTCGCCAGTGCATAAATCAAAGCCATCTTAAGAGCATCATTGGGCATTGTCCCCTCAGCATCCCTATTAAAGCTAATGAATGCTTTGGAAATGTCTCTTCGCTTAACCGATTTGCTAGAGTAGAAATACCTTGATGCAAACCTACCACATGCCCCATTGTCCATTCGCCCTCGCAATCCACCCATTTTTAACCCAGTAATCAAGTGAAACTGCGCTTTTGTCAAGACAACCTCACGCCCAAGGAGTTGAAATTTTAACACGTCCTTACTCCCACCGCCATCCGCCGGCCTCACAGTACTACCAACCAAATGAATTAGCAACTGCCCGCTAATCCATGGGCAATCTAACACATCCAAAATAACACCAAATGCTGAAGTCCTAAACCTTTTCAACTCATCCTCAGTTAGTTTCGATGTGATCTGCCTAGCCACTTCATTAACGTTGCAGTAAGTATTAATTCGACCGTCAAGCAAACCACCCTTATCCGGCTTCTGCACGTCCTATACAATGCACAAACCATACATTAGCACACCAAAAAAAACATCCCCAAATGTTAACAACCGATAACCAGGCTGTTAAAACACGAAATACAGAAAGGTGGAAGTATAAAATACACACAAACATCTACTGCCCAATGATGTTTGTGCTTGGGCATTTGCAAAAGACACGAAACTAAATGGCACACTGCCACATATGAAGTACACAACATAGAACATTAATATGAAAATGGGCAGTAATCACACAAATACAAAAAACACTGTATTACCCAAAAAACCAATAACCCAATGCCTCACAAATTCAAATACCAGTCAGGCACACCACCCAACTGCAATGTGAGCTCAAAGGATATTACAAGTTGTTGACTAAAATTAACTTCCGCAACCACATAGCTGAAAACCACATTGTCAATCTAAACATTGAATCACAACAACTACATTTACTTCACCAACAAAACAAAACCCCTAACTCACAATGCACCAAAACAATTCCATATTGATGGACACACTTCCACCATAGATGCATAAACCCTTTAAACATATGAAACAGAAAATGCATGAAAAGGGCCCCCCAGATCATGAACCAGCCAAGCCATATGTAAACCAATCAATGGTTCTGGAAAGGCAGACCAAAATAAGCTCCTATCTACACCAAATCCATATGGAATGTCAGGAGCACAACCTCCTACACCATATCCATATGGAATGTGAGAGCACATCCACCGTAAGCAAGTAAATAAACTCCCGATTCGAAACACAATTCCTAACCCCGTCAAAAATACAAAAAAAGTTAATGCAAAACAACCATTCGACTGAACATTGAGACTATCATTACACTCAATTTAATGACAAAACGCTAACTGTTCGGTAAAAGGAAACCCCAATAACTAAGCTACACACTGCAACATGCAACAACAAATGGGTTCAGGGGAAGTATTTCAAGGCAGTAGATCAGAAAATCCACTATAAAAAAAACAACACCACTGCAAGACACAAACCCCACACAAATTGTTCGCCAACCTTGTTCAGCAAATAATCCAAAACAGAAATACGGGATTCCACAACACATGGTAAAATTGAAAACAAAAAACCCCCCAAAATCCTAAAAAACCCACCTCAAATCACAAGCCCAATCAGCTCTGAACCATGAAAACGGTCATGCATACTTCCAAAATCCACTAAAAAAAACCTAGAATTACATACATGCACTGTAAAATACCTGAACCATCTCCATTCGCCTCATAAGCGGAATATCATCCAGTTCATCCTCCGCTGACAATGCATCTCCAGCACTTTTCACAGCTTCCTCTTTCGCCATTGCAATTCTCGCACTGCGTCTTCTCACCGGATGAGAACTATGACAATTCGCAATGTCTGGACTCTTCATGTTTTAGATTTTAATTTTGGAAGTGCGAAAAATCCGGCTGATTCTTCGACCTCAATTATCGGGATGCATCCAACAAACACTGAAAGCGAACCAGGCGCCGGAATAGCCGTCCTCAATAATCGGGAAATATTCACTGCCAGGTTCAAATCAATTTCCCGCATCGTTAATATCACAGGGACAAAACCGGAACTAAACATGTTTAAACAGTAGCTGTGCTAAATACGTATTAATTCTTATACAGTAGTGCTATTTCAGTGCTTAACCCATCTAAAAAAAGGACTATTTCTTGTATATCTATGATTCACAATCATCCTCTTTCTTACATCATTTTCAAAATTACAATTTTATTTTTCCTAAACTTTATATCAAACCAAATGGAAACTCTATTTTAGTATCAAACTTGTTCATCTTATTATACGTAGTAGGGGTCTTCAAAAATATCTGATCCGAAATATTCGTCCATGATCCAGGCTGATCTGATGCGAAAAATGAATATCTGATCCAATATTCTAGCTTTCGGATATTTTGGATAAGATATCTGAAAAAATTCGAATCGGATATGGAATGAAATATTAAGATTTCAAATATCCGTGGATATCCGAAGTTCATATTTTTAAAAAAATCAATATAAAAATAAAGCTTAGACAACTTGAGCCCAATTCATTTTCATCATCATAAATATTTGAATCAAAGGTTAATTGAAGTTTTTTACTTTAGTCTTTTTGTCTATGTTTTATTTGTCAATTATGTTGATATTCTTTTTTATACATTTATAAAATTATAACTTATGATAACACTATCAAGGTAACTATGACATTTTAAATAGAGTTGACTTCAAATTTAAGTCTAAATTATGACCTCTACTATTTTAACAAATAAAAAATCATTCTAAATACTTTTTTAGAATTATTGGAAAAAATAAAAATTCAAAAAAAATAAATAAAATTTTTTCCAAATATTCTATTGATCCAATCTGAAATTTCGGATATCCGAAATTTGGGTATCCAGTAATTTTTGGATCAAACATGAAATAGATATTTACCGATCTGAAAATTTTGAATATTCAAAGAACCTGATCGGATCAGATATATCGGAATGAACACCCCTTACGTAGTAAGGGTTAATAAAAAACAAGACCCTCCATGAGCTTTATTCAAGCTTTCCAAACACATCCTTAAAAAAAGTATGGGGAGGGTGCGAAGTACGGCAAAGAAAACAACGCTGGACTGTAAAAACCACGTGTGTTCCAGTTGGCACCCCACTGATGTGTCTGCTGCCCGACCTTATCCGGTTTTCATTTCGCTTTTTTTCTCTAAAAAAACCCCCCCCCAAATACGGTCGGTCTACGGATAATTGTTTTCTACTCCACTCCGTAGTTTTCCATGAAAAAATTAAATTGATTTGTTGGATTTTCAGGGCATTGACAGCAAGACAAGAAAGAAAGAAAGAAAGAAAGAAAGAAGAGTAGAGATGAGAGAGATGTTAATATGCATGTTGACCAAAATCTGGTTTCAATAATTGTTCACTTTGGATTCAGATTTGGTTTGTCTTTTTTCAGCATTTGTTCTGCCTTCTTTGATGATTAATCCTGTGTTTTCTGTTGTTAACTGCCCAATTCCAACACTGTTTAATCTTTTCTAAATAGGATCGATTTGATTCTTTTGTTTCTCTGGATAAAGATTGAATCTTTTTACTCCGGGCTTCTCTTTGATTTCTAGGATCTAGTTGATGGTTCATCTTCTTGCTCTGTTTTTCTTTCTTTCTTTCTTAAGTTTGTTTCTTGCCCTTTTCAGATCTTGCTCAACTGTTCTTGATTATGCTGCAAAAGCCCTTTTCTTGATCTTGCTCAATTGGTTATTGGATTTGGTTGAGGCTCGGGCTTGATTTCGCTGTTCTTGATTTTGCCGCCAAAGGAAAACCTGAATCTTGAATTTGGCTGAACCCCATTCGTCATCATCAGCTGGAGAAGATGATGTCCAAATCGTACACTAACTTGTTAGATCTAGCTTCGGGGAATTTCCCAGTGATGGGCCGCGAAAAGAAGCGGCTTCCGAGGGTCATGACGGTGGCCGGAGTGATTTCCGAGCTCGACGACGATCAATCCAGCAGCGTTGCCTCGGACGCTCCGTCGTCTCTAGTGGTAGATCGAGTCATAGTCGTCGCGAATCAGCTCCCCGTGAAAGCCAAACGCAGGCCGGATAATAAAGGGTGGAGCTTTAGTTGGGATGATGATTCTCTGTTGCTGTACATAAAGGACGGTCTGCCGGATGAAATGGAGGTTATATATGTAGGTTCTTTGAGGGTTGAAGTTGATCCAAATGAACAAGATGATGTTTCCCAATTGCTCCTTGATAGATTCAAATGCGTCCCGGCGTTTCTCCCGCCTGACATTTTGGGAAAATACTATCACGGGTTTTGCAAGCAGCATTTGTGGCCGCATTTCCATTACATGCTCCCGTTCTCCGCCAGCCACGGTGGCCGGTTTGAGAGGTCGTGGTGGGAGGCGTACGTGGCGGCGAACAAGATCTTCTCCCAGAAGGTCATTGAGGTAATTAACCCGGAGGATGACTACGTTTGGATCCACGACTACCATCTCATGGTTTTGCCGACCATATTGCGGCGGCGGTTCAACCGGCTGAGGATGGGGTTTTTCCTCCACAGCCCGTTCCCGTCGTCGGAGATCTACAGGACTCTGCCTGTCCGGGAAGAGATTCTGAAGGCTTTGTTGAACTCGGACTTGATTGGTTTCCACACGTTTGATTACGCCCGCCATTTCCTCTCTTGTTGTAGCAGGATGTTGGGGTTGGAGTATCAGTCGAAGCGGGGGTATATCGGGTTGGAGTATTACGGGCGGACCATCGGGGTTAAGATCATGCCTGTGGGTATCCACATTCCCCAGTTCGAATCAGTCTTGCGACTCGCGGATAAGGAGTGGAGGGTGGATGAGCTGAAACAGCAGTTCGAAGGGAAGACGGTGATTCTCGGAGTGGACGATATGGACATCTTCAAAGGGATTGATCTGAAACTTCTGGCCATGGAACAGATGCTATTGCAGCATCCTGATTGGCAGGGGAGGGCAGTTTTGGTACAAATCGTAAATCCCGCTCGGGGAAAGGGAAGGGATCTTGAGGAGATACAAGAAGAAATCAGAACTAGCATCAAACGAATCAACGAGCGGTTCGGCCAGCCCGGATATCAACCGGTTGTCTTCATCGACCAGCCCATTTCGCTCAACGAGCGGGTCGCGTATTACACCATCGCGGAGTGCGTGGCGGTGACCGCCGTACGAGACGGTTTGAATCTCACCCCGTATGAGTACATTGTATGTAGACAAGGCGCGAGTCCAGATTCGTCTGCCCCGAAGAAGAGTATGTTAGTGGTGTCCGAATTCATCGGGTGTTCCCCGTCCCTGAGCGGGGCCCTACGGGTTAACCCGTGGAACGTCGAAGCAACCGCCGAGGCGTTGTACGCCGCGATTTCAATGGCCGACCCAGAGAAGCAGCTGCGACACGAGAAGCATTACAAATACGTTAGCACGCACGACGTGGCGTACTGGTCTAGAAGCTTCTTCCAAGATCTGGAGAGGAGTTGCAAGGACCATTTCCGGCAAAGATGCTGGGGGATCGGTCTGAGCTTTGGGTTTCGGGTTGTGGCGCTCGACCCTAATTTCAGGAAACTGTCTGTGGACGCGATCTCTTCTGCTTACTCCAGAGCTAAGAACAGAGCCATTTTGTTGGATTATGACGGAACGGTCATGCCTCAAACCACCATTAACAAAGTCCCAAGCCGACAAATCATTTCCGTTATCAGCTCGTTGTGCGAAGATGCTAAAAATACCGTCTTTCTCGTGAGCGGAAGAGGAAGGGACAGTTTGGGGAAATGGTTTTCTGCTTGCAAGAAACTCGGCATTGCCGCCGAACATGGATACTTTTTAAGGTGACTAAAATTAACTTCATTACCATTTCTTCAAGTGTACGAAAACATTTTTGTTATCGTATTATTATTATTCTTATGAGTCTCTTGGACAGGTGGTCGGGTGACGAGGAATGGGAAACGTGCGGGCAAAACACGGATTTCGGGTGGAAACAGATTGCAGAGCCGGTGATGAAGCTGTACACGGAATCTACGGACGGGTCTTCAATTGAGACGAAAGAGAGTGCTTTGGTTTGGCATCACAGTGACGCGGATCTCGGGTTCGGGTCCAGCCAAGCGAAAGAAATGTTGGATCATCTTGAAAGTGTTCTTGCGAATGAACCGGTCGAAGTGAAGAGCGGGCAATTCATTGTCGAAGTGAAACCTCAGGTATATATCTCGACCGTTGCCCGTAACCGACTCGTCACAAGGTTTGAATCCTTTCATGTTTTGTGAAACCTGGCAGGGTGTGAGTAAAGGACGAGTTGCAGAGAAGATCTTCGGTAGCATGGCGAAGAGGGGGCAGAAGTTTGATTTCGTGCTGTGCGTGGGGGACGACAGGTCGGACGAGGACATGTTCGAGGTGATAGGGGCGGCAATGGAAGGCGGCGTTCTGTCCCCGAACTCGTCGGTGTACGCGTGCACGGTCGGGCAGAAACCGAGTAAAGCCAAGTACTATGTGGACGACGCGGCGGAGGTGATTCATGTTCTAGAAGCTCTCGCGCGGGAGTCAGGCCCCACCGCCGCTCTGTCTCTAGAAGCTTCTTCCGTCCGAATCTGAGGAGTGCAAACTATAAGCAAGTGTTTTGTACAATCTGTTGTTGGTTTTTGTTTTTGAGAAGAAAATGTTTTAGAATTGGGGAGGTGTATGTTTTTTCATTTGGGTTTGGGTAGGACTGATATTCTTGGATTGGTTCCATTGTAAATGATGCTATAAGTGTTGGTTCAATTCATTGCTTTTATGCTTCAAAACAAATGGAGTTAGTTTCCCAATCAACTTCACAATAAAGTAGAATGATTATTAGGCTCTAGCTTTATTTGTCTCCTATTATTTCTATGATATTTCATTTCTATAATATTGAGAATCAATTTTCAAATCTACACTCTTTCGATGGACTCAGAAGTGATTTCTACCTCCAAATATGATAGGGGTCTAGGCATGAATATTCTTGGTTAAAGAATGGTTGTTCCCAATCTAAAAATAGGATGTTTGATTTAAGTAATTTTAAATTCAGTTTATATAAAAATCGGTGTACAACTACTAAATAAAATTAATATATTTAAAAACACTTTGAGAAATTTTGACAAAAGTATTTTATGTTATCAATATAATTAATAGAAATATTTATAAAAAAGTAAATTTAGTTTGACTTTGTAAATAATGAAATACTAGAAAATTAGAATTTACAAGTTTGTTTTTATGATTCTAAAATCTATATGTGAAATATAAAGTTTCTTACATTTTTCATGAACGTACTAGTAGATATTTTTATTTTGTAAAAAAAAAACTTAATTTTTATACTATTTACACAATATAATTCATAAAACTTCAGGACATAAAATGAGTGCGGAACTTAAGACTTGAAAATTTCCCAAAATTTAGAATGAAATTTTGCACCGAAATTCTCCCCCATGTGACCAATTTGGCCGGGGTGGCGTGATGGGTGCCGGCTAGGGGTGTAAACGAACCGAATCGAAGCGAATACCGATATATTTGAATTTGTATTTGTTTGATTTTTTCGAATACGAATACGAATCCGAATATTAGACGAATTCAAAATAAGATTTGAATAAGTATTTGATTAATATTCAAATAGTTATCGAATCATAAACGAATATTTGAATAATCATACTATGTAATTTATATGATGGACCAACATCAATTTGTAATTTAACTTACGATACTCTTTATACTATACTATATTCTGTATATAAAAACATTAATACATTTGTATTTTACACAAATTATATTTTATAAAATATAACTATTAAAAATCATATGCTTTAGATTTTTGTGTTACGTTAATTTATTGAATTCTTAGTATTTTAAATACACTTTATACTATATTACTTTGCTTGACTTTTGATGTTGAAAACATGGTCTGTGTATATATACATATATTCGAATATTCGAATATCATCCGAATCGAATATATCCCTATTTGTATTTGTATTTGATTAAAATTCGAATCAAAAATAATATTTGAATTTGTATTTGTATTTGAATAACGCGAATTCGAATCACCGTATTCGAATACAAATCGCGAATCGAATTTAAAATATTTGATTTGTTTACATCCCTAGTGCCGGCCCGCAAAGTTGCTTAAATTTTTGGGACAAAAGAAAAAAAGAATGTGAATAGAGGCGCATGTGAAAGGAGATTAAAGGGTACGTACGTCAAAGATGTGTCCATGTAATGTAGGCCTTCTTAAGGGCCCAGGGTAGAAAAGGAATTCATGCTGGCTCTATTTCTCAAAATTATTACTCCCTAAACATGTACAAATATTTTTAATATGTTTGTCCTGTTTGGTTTTTAATAGTTAAATTGTTGGAATTTTTGGCATTTTAATAGGCATTAAATGGACCAACTTTGGTATAATTATCAATAGGTCCACTAACGGTTTTAACTGTTAAATAATGGACGTGTGTTCTCTTAAATGAGGTAAATATTTTGTTATATTATACGCCAAAAATGGTAGAAGGATGAATGAGAAAATGATTCTCAGAGTTAACCCGTTACGTAATGTTTAAAATTATTCCACTTTTACGGAGTTAATTGGCCATTAATTTCCAATTAAATAGGAAGAATTTTAAACATTATGGGTGTAACCCCATGTTAATGGTGGTATTAACACACCATTAAAAATATTACTAATGATGGTGAGTCATGGCTATTGAATGTGCCTTCATGGCATATAAGGAAAAAGAGGGGAAGGAAAAAGTTAACAATTTTGTCCTTGTTTAACTTTGAGGAGAGCTCTTGGTTTTCTTGCCAATTTTTTCTGGCAATTCCTTTCAAAGTTTTTTTTGGTCGCCAACGTTCTTATATTGTTCTTGTTCGTTGGTGTGTGGTTGGTCCGTACAATCTCCACACACGATAGCGGTTTTATCCTGGGAGGAGAGTGCCCACGTTTTTCCGGTACGGTAGGCGGGCACTACTACCTTAAGGATAGCTCCGGCGACTCCGTTGTCCTTCACGGTGTTTTGTTTCGCAGGTTTAGTTCATAAAGACCTCGCTGCATTCTGCCCTAGTGCATAATGTCCTCGCAGCCCAGTACATAATGTCCTTGATGTCCAGTGTTTAATGTCCTCATACAACAAGGCTGTTTGGAGATATATAAATTTATTTTCAATTCTGTTTATCTTGTAATATTCTGAATAAGTTATAAATTCAGAATTTTTTTATTTTCCGAGGCCGTTCATCTTCCCCGTCCGTTGTAATCCGTACAAAAATTATAACATAAATTAGATAATTTTTTTCATTATTATATAAATAAAACTATATTGCATATTAGTAAAATTAAACATTAAAAATATTTTGCAAATAGTAATACTAATTCAGTAGAACTTCACGGAAAATAGGGTTTGAGAGAGTGTGTGCATAAACCAAGAGATTTTACAAAGACCCATACTAAAGACTCTCGACCATTCAATTACTGCTTTCTAAATTATTTAAGTCATGTGTTATGGTTGGATTTGACGGTGTTAAAGAAGTATGACCTGAAATAATAAAAATAGAGTGTAAAGTGTGCTTTATTTTGACGAGTTGAAGTGGAAATAAAATTTTGATTAGTTGAAAATTGAAAAAAAAGAATTTCACACGATTCTCTCTATACAAATTTTAACAACTCATATTTCACTTTTAAATATATTTCTTAAATTTGTAAGACTCATACAAAATCTTTACAAAGATCTAATCAAGTTTGGGACATTACCAGTATGAATAACCTCTTGCATATAAAGTCAAGATCCACTCTCTCACTTAAAAAGCTTAGACTAATGGTAAAGTTTTACCCTTGTATATGTACTAGTGATATTTCTTTTTGTTTTCTAATGTAGCAGCTCCAATACTTCCCCTCAAGTGATAACTAGCCTGATTTAGTTAGCACTCGGAGAAACATGTCTAGCATCTCAATCCCGTATAGCTAGCTTACAAAATGGGTAGCGGCTTTGCATTCTCTTAGAGCCAACTCAACTCAAAAACACGGACAAGAAGCTCATACTGCTAAACCTACGCCCAAATTAAACAACGTGGAAGAGTTAAACTTTGACCGGATGTGTCCTAATACTATGTTAAAGTCTCGGAGGCCAAGAACAGCGGACAGAATGTCAGATAAAATTAACCAAATTAACTGCTTTAAAATTCTTTGAATAAATTTTGTAAATGGTACTCAATAGCCATATGTTTTTCCAAATTAGTTCTCAAGATAAACTAATTATCGAGATGACACTCGTTAATCGAGAAAAATGCTCAGTTTAGTTCTCGACTAATGGTTATAATAGCAACGTTAAAACGACGCTAAAATTTACACTAAATTTATAGAATGGTCCTTTTCTAATTATGTGTTTTCTCAAATTGATATATTTTCAAAATATAAAATTATTAAATATGGAAAAAATTTAATTTTCCAGCGTCAAACTCTACTCTAAAATTTATAAAATTATATTTACAGTTTTATTGTTTTTCGTATTTAATGAGTTTTATTTTGAAAATGGAGGAAATTTGAAAAAATACACAACTAAAAAGGATTATTTTAGAAAATTCGTATAAGTTTTAATGTCGTTACGATTCCGTTTTGATGACCGTTAGTCGAGGAACTAAATTGAGCACTTTTTTCAATTAACGAGTAGAATCCTGATAATTAGTTCATGTTGGGGACTAATTTAAAAAAGTCAAAGTTATTTTCTTTCCTCCATCCAAATAAGGGGTAAAAGATTTTTCCTTTTCACCCTTTTCCGTCTCAAAAGTTCCTTTCATTTTATTTTAAAAGTTATTTTTAACCCTCTAAATTCTACTAATCTTATCTATCACTTCATATTTGTTTAGAACTAATCAATCCATCAAATCATATCTTTACTCATTGAGAATGATAGAGTTATAAACAAACATTTTACAAAATTCACAACTTTTTCTTTTTAACATTTTACGATGTACAAGATGCACTCAAATAATAAAAAATATTTAAATTTAAAATTTACAAATGATAAATTTGAGAAGTTTGTGAACTGTTTGTTATTGACTAGAACATTATCCATACATCAAAGATAATTTGAGAAAGTCAAAACACAAATATTTCTCCATTAAATTCTCTAAAAGTCAAAACGGGAATGAGGGAGCATATTCTTTTTATTGAATAACAATGACCCTGTTACAACTTACAATGTAGTACTCTCTTTGTCTCAACTTAAATTGTGTATTCACTATAAACATGGTCAAACTTCATATACATTCTTTATTTATTTTCATTACTCATTTAAAAAAATATAGTCATATCTTTTATGTTTTGTAGATTTTTTGATTTACTCTTTCCATCCTAAAATGATTTACGCTTTTACTATTTGAGTCTTTCGATATCTTTTGTTTACTCATTTAATTTGTTTTCATTGGTCATTAGTATCACACAGTTGCGGATCCAGAAATCAAAATTAGAGGGGCCGAGATTACATGTGGCTTCGGGGGCAGTGCCCGCCTCTTTGTCCAATAGACAATGTAAAACTAAAAAAATTAATTAAAAGAAGCTTTTAAATAATTATCTAAAAATACACCCTAGACTAGTTTTACAGTCTCTTAATAATATTTAATTTTAAATAGTATTCTTGTTATGTTAAACATTACACATTTAAATTCTTTTAATTTTAACGACAAATATTTGATTTTCAACTTCATTTTTTATTGGGGTAATTTATTTTCTAAATGGGGGCATTTTGTTTTTTGATAAGGGCATAACATACTTTTTTTTAAATTAGGGTACTATTTAAAAAATTCAAAATTCATTGGGGGCAAGTGCCCCCATTCAATTCCATATAGATCCGCCAACGGTATCACACCCGTGCGTTGCACGCTTAATATTAATGTTATAAATTTATGTTGGCATTATTATAAAAATAAATAAGTACACCATATAATGAAATAAAATGTTTTTCGTTTATGTAAAACATAAATATCATATAAATTGTAAATTCTAAAACTCCTTTATAAACTACATTAGTGGTACATCTTGTGGAAACATGTTCTGCATCGTCAATAAGAATTTTAAAGCTATTACGATTTGTTATTCTTGAAGCCGCAACATATGATTGTCCATGACTAAATACCGGTTTTCGTAACAATAACCCGACATGTTCCTTACACATTTGGTCAAAGTCATCGTCCGCTTCAAAAGTTTCATACTTCGAGATAATTGACTTGTCCCAAATAAGGTCATATACACCATAAGAATTATTTCTGACATAATTTGATTGATTCTCCATATCTCCCTTTACAAATATATTGAATAGAGCTCTCTTATCAATTATTTCGGTAATCTCCTTTGGAATCTTGCTAGGATCATCATGTCGCTATATTATTCATGGAAATAAATTAGTACATTAAGTCAAGCAACAATTTTTTTGGAAATATCAATTAAACCATTTTATTAGAATTTCAATACCTTGCAGAGCAAGGTTCTCATCGCACTAGTTTGCATACCAAAAACCTTGACACATTCCTTATCCCAAAGTATTAAAGAAGCGTTATCTGAGCTATCTATTTTTTACATTGTTCGAAAAGTGTAAATAAATTTAAACGGATAGAGTAGTTTTTAAATAAGTAATCTTTATTTTTAAATTCTACCAGAATTCTCAAAATGAACAAATAAATTTGGAAGGAAGGAATAAATTACACCAAAATAGTCACCAAACACTAAGCCCATGTTTGGATGGGGTGATTTTAGAGAGAAAGAAAATGGGAGGGAAGAAAATACATTTTTCAATAAAATTTCCTTTGTTTGGTTAGGGATGAAAATGGGGGAAGGAAAGAAATCATGAGAGGCGCCACCCCAAAAAAATTTCCCTGCTCAAGTGGCAAGAAAATGGGCCGATTGAAGAGAAAACTAGTGAACAGACAATTTTGCCCTTCATTCCATCTTATATCCTCTATATATCTTTTTACAATTATAAAAAGAAAAGGCAAAAATGTCTTTTTGGCTTTATCACCTTTTCTTTTCTTTTACAATTTCACTTTATTTTCCACTCACCCTATTTTCTCTTCATTTTCTTTCCATTCATTTTCACCTCTTATCCAAACAATGACTAAACAACATTATCAGCCCATATCCCTCTCCATCCACACATCATGTCCTCTTATTTGAAAGGGAACCTACCTTTTTATTCTTCTTTCTTTTCCTCTCTTTTTATTTATTTTTTAAAATAAAACAAACAAAGACAACAAATGAGATTCCAACTTTAATAATTACAATTACATCAGTATTTTGTACATATGAGAATCTTTCCAAATCTCATCAAATACTCCCTTCGCCCACTTTTTTTTCATCTGTCTCAAAATAAATTTTTCATTTTTTTTCATTTTAAAAGAATATGGTTTATCTCTCCTTTAAATAAATTCTAGTTACTAAAATTTTCAAATTTCAACATCTTTTTAATATTTTTCTATCAAAAAATTAAATCAAAATTATTTTTTGAAGGTATAAACAAATTATTTTAAGATAGAGGAAGGTGAGACTCTTGTCTCATTCCTTAACCTTTGAGACTCATTTTGGACCACCCCTCCAAATACTTTAAAAAAAGGTTGGTGGTTGCAAATACAAAGATAATCAAATTTCCTATATTTATCAATTTAAAACTAAAATATTGTCTAGATCAATTTTCTGAGTCCTCAACAGAGGACCCTAGAATGAGATTCATCTTTATAAAAAATCAAATATTTTTGGCTCAAGGATCTAAAGAATCCTTGAAGGGAGGTTGAAGGGAGGTGGATGTTAGGGTAGGGTAGAATCAAAATGAAGCAAGAGAAAACAATCAATATATATAACTCAACCCATTGACTTTAACAGACCCATATCATTAGTTAAGACAAGACTACACTTGTAGGTGCTGAGTAAGAAAGAGGTATGAACAAACTACTTTCTTAGTCACATAAAAAACATTTTATAATACGATGAACACACGGAGTAAGTCATTTTCCAATTTAGGACTTAAATTTTTTTTATTCTTTAAATAGGATTTAATAATGTCTAAAAGGAGAAATAATGTCTAGTAATGATAAACATTTAGTTGAATAATGACTAACTGATAATGACCAAAAGTCCTACATTGAAAAATAAAACCATATGATCATATATTGAGAAAATCGTTATGTTTTAGTCCTATTTAAGTAAATTTCTCTAGTTAAAAACTAGGTAGAGGCGAGGAGAATTATATTCAACCTCTCCCAAAAACTCCTTCCTCCTTTTTTTCTTGGGTCACAAAATATTTCTATTTTCAATTAAAAAACTACTTTTATCCTAACTAATTCTTAACATATCTATCACATCATACTCCGTACATTTTAACTAATAATCTACCATCGAATTCTATTTTTATTCATCACATCAAAGATATTTTTAAAACGTCAATACAAAAATATCTCTTAAATTTCCTAAAAGTCAAATAGAAACATTTTTTGTGAGACAAAAGAACAATCAATTACAAAATAGTTACTTAAAACGGAAAGTAAATTTTTTTTATTAGACCAATGATATAGTCTTTTCGTTTCTCATATATCTTCTCATCTATTATCCACATGATTAAATTTAACTAATATAATCTTGCCGTTACTTATTTTGTAGAATTTTTTATGTAGTTTATCATTATATAAGTTTTATTCTTAAATTTCTATACTTACAATTTAATAAATTAAATTAAAAATAAAATCAGTCAAATCTCTTAACTCACAATGAAAAATCTATTAGAAACATTTGCATAGTAGATAAAAAATAGACATCCAAATCTAAACAAAACCAAAGAAGGGGAAGAAAAAGAAGTTAAGGACCACAATATAAGCACATATAGATAAGTGGAACTAAGCAAAAGATAATATGATTTACAATTCATGAGCTAGTGTTTTATACACATGAAGAAGTTAATGTGGGCTAGGAGTTTTTGGTGTGCCAATGTTTGGCTACATTTTGAAAATACCAAAAACTTGGAGGGTACAAAATTAGAAAAATCTTGTGACATTTCTTTCCCTTTCTGATGGGCCCACTGAGTCATCATCCCCTTTAAATTTTAACCACTTGAAAACAAAGACAAGGGCCTTCTCCTTGGGCCCCACATATACACCCCCTTTACTTCTTTTACAATATACAACAAAAAAATCCAGTTCATTCATGCAGGCCTGACTAAACCACTTTCACATGTGGGCCCAAAGCCCATTCATATGCTGGGCTCCTAACCCACACATTTCCCAATACACTCCCATCTTTGACCTTCCACGCTCCACACACGCGCCTCCGTGCCCAACGGATACATTTTACAAGATCTGCCCATTCTCCGGCAACTTCAAAGTGGAATTTCGTTTCTGGTCCCTCAAAATTTACGTAATTATAATGTAGGTATAATCACATTAAGTAATGGCTTGATCAACTTAATAATGCTACTCCGTAATTATCATAATTTATTAAACACGATTTCTTCATGCTATTACAAAGTTGATCTGGCAATTTACTTACACCGCCGCGTCGGGAGAAAAATCGGTGGCCGGCGACACCATAAAAGCGGCGGCGCGTTGTTAACCATCCACCGGGAAAACGCGACGGAAGAAAGCCCGTAGAACGCTAGTTTTTAACCGGAGAGAGGTATACCTGGCTTTGGACCACCATTTTCCCGAGTTTGAACCCGGGAACCACCGTGAACGCCGCCCGAAACTCGCCGGCGCCGGGGAAAATCTCGTCCGTGACGCTCTCCATGTAAATCTCCGAGAACTTGGCCCCCTTCCTCACCTGGAAAACGGCGACGTGTTGATGGAAAGAGAAGGCGAGGCAATGCAAGAGCCAAACCCTCCTCCCCATCTCGGCAAACGCCCCGAAGAATTCGGTTTCCGGGAAGTCGCCGGAGTTCACCGTTTTCCGTTGGGTCAAGTTCCCGGAGAAAGAATACTCCATCTTGGGATGGACCAAGTGAAGGTATTTCGCCTTCAAGAACCTCGCGAAAACAGAGGAAGGGTTCTGCTTCAGGAACTGAGCCGCACTCGCAGATCTCAACTGTTTGAACTGGTCGAAGAAGAATGTCCTCTGTTTCTCCGGCGACGAACAGGGGTCACTCTGTACAGAAAAGCAGGGGTCCTCGAACCCGGTGAACATCTCTCTGCAGACGAAAGATTCGAAGGCGAAAGCCCGGTGGCTTTTCTTCCTGAACGAGGCCGTCTTGTGAATCGCAGCCGTTGCGCCGTCGATGTCCCAGTGGGCAGCCTCCATGCTGCGGACAAGGTGTTTGACGAAATGCCTGAGAGATCTCACAGCATACTGAAGAACGGCGACGAAATCTCTGGTATTCACATCGGAAAACCCCACCCCATCGAAAGACCCGCCGGCGGCGTTCATCTTCCCCTCGAGGGATCTGTTCCCCGCTGCAATTTCCTCAAGCTCGCTCCGGAGGGAAGAAGCCATGGCCGTTTTCCTCTCGATCTCGCCCTGCATTTTCCTCATGGTGATCTCGTACGTCTTCATCAGGGACTGCTGTTCTCGAATCTCGGAAATCATGAGGGAGACATGAGGAGGGGAAGATGAACCGACCTGGTTCTTGAGAAATCTGCGCTTGAGCTCGGAGATGGACTTGAGCTCACCCACCACGGCTAGATCTGCAGACTGGACAGCCCCACTGTTGTAAGGGAACTGCGAAATCTGGAGCTCGGCGTAAGCGGCTTTCAGAGAGGAAATGGCGGCGAAGAGCTTGGCGACGAAGGCCTCCATGGCCGCCCTGTTTCTTGAGATCTCCCTGCAGTCCTGAAGAATCTCGTCTCTGTCCAAGTGCAGGGGTTCGCAGCACTTGAGCTTCTCCGGAGGAATGAGGAGGCAAAAGGCAGCATTGCTGGGCATGGGTTTCGGGGAAGAAGAAGAGGAAGTTGAGGTCTTGCGATGGAGGACCTTGTGGAAGGTCCGGGCAAGAAGGGTGCTCCGGTTGGGAGCTGGACTGGGTCGGATTGAGTCCATTAAAACAGAGGAGGAGATGGAGAGGAATTTGGCGGAGAAGAAGAAGAAAGAATGGGAATGTGGAGGGTGTGAAATTGATTGGGGGGAAATAGGAAGAGAGAAGAGAGAAAAAGTTGGGCTAAGGAGACAGTATAGAGTGGGGTTGAGTGTACGGAGGAGTATATGGGCAAGATTTAGGGGTCATATCTATTCACTCCCTTCAATATTTTTGGAGAATGATTAAACCCAATTCACGTAATTGAAATTAAATTGAGGGACGTTGAGTAAATGACGAACATATGTAAGAAAATAAAATTTTATTCCTGACAGTGTAAGTTAGACATTTTTTTTCCTAATAATGCAAAACGGATTTGGCTACTCCGTTTCTATTTAAAAAATTTTGATTAAACGGAGTAGCCTAATCCGTTTGGTTGATTTAATTGCCAAACGGAGTTGGCAAATCCGTTTTGATATTCTTTATTTTTAGTAATTTTTTTGCCAACAAAGTTGGCTAATCCGTTTGCCCTTTTTTTCTTCATCATGCAAATCCTTTTTTTTTCTTTATCATTTTAAATATAAATATTTTTCTATATCATTAAAATATTTTTGTTCATAATTTTTTTGATAATTTTATATAAACGGAGTAGCCTAATCCGTTTGGTTGATTTAATTTTAGTAATTTTTTTGCCAACAAAGTTGGCTAATCCATTTGCCTTTTTTTCTTCATCATGCAAATCCTTTTTTTTCTTTATCATTTTAAATCACCTTCCCTTTTTTGCTCAAATAATTTTTGTTACTTATAAATAAATTATAAAATTTAAATATAAATATTTTTCTATATCATTAAAATATTTTTGTTCATAATTTTTTTGATAATTTTATTTATCATTAAATAATATATACTCTAATAAAATTTAATAATAAAACTACTATTTATTAATTTTAAGTAAATCGGATGGGTCGTCCTACATTGCTCAACGGGAGACATTTACGGTGAACTTAAATGCACGAACATGTAGCTGTGGTCAATGGGTAACATTTCACCTCCCGTGCAATCATGTCCACGCAGTATGTCATTTTTGTAATGTCACCGTGGATCATTTGATTCCAAATATTTTTTCAATTCAGTCCTACATCAATGCTTACTCTGGCATCATAATGCCGCTACCGGATGAGTCTCAATGGCCTACTCCAAAGTACGAGGTCTTGAGGCCTACACCACGACAGACCACACGAACCGGCCGACGTACGAGAACCCGCTATCCGAATAACATGGACTATCGACCACAGAGACATCGTAACCAGGAATAGCTTTGTCATGAATTTGAATTATGTCTGATTTTATGTATTATTAAATTTTATAAATAAGTTAGTCATGGATTGTGTTTTGGCTTCTACTTTTTAAGAATAAATTGTTATATGTAATCTAGCAATAAAATTCTTGTGTTTTGTCTTGTTTTTTTAATATCGTTATATAAATACCACTTAAAGTCAATAAATAGTATTTTGTTTAAACTTTTATTGTAGTCTATTATTTACATCTTCTTTATGTATGTTTCTCGTTTATTTTGTAATTAATTTGATTTCTTATTAGTAATTTAAAAATAACAGAAGTAAATTGTTTTAATTCAGTTATTAAAAAATTTTAAAATACAATATTTTAATAAAATAAATTTTGAAAAATAAAAAAAGTTTATATAAAGTGGATTTAATTTGTTAAAAAGGTTTATAAAAGAGGAGATAAAATAACTAAAAAAAATTAAAGGAAAAAAAAGGAACAAAGCAACAAATCCGTTTTTAAAGAAAATTACAAAAAAATATATATATATTGGAACGGATTAGCTTAATCCGTTTGAAAATTAAATAAGTGAAACGGATTAGGCTAATCCGTTTTATTAAATAATATGAACGGATACGGATTAGCCAAATCCGTTTGGTATTTTTGGGGAAAGTGCTATTTCAATTTACATATAAAGGAACGAGATGCAACCTATTTACACAAACAGGGAAATGACCCAGGGACGTTTGATATATGAAATTCATGGAATTGGAATTGAAATTAAAATTTTATGGGATTTAATTCCATAGAATTGAATTCACAAATTCCAATTCATTTTTTGCATTATCAATTTCAAATCCACATAATTTTTGTGTTACCAAACACCAGAATTGGAAATAAAGTCCTCAATTCCAATTTCATAGTTTGAATTCCGTGTATCTAACGGGGCATGAGAGTCAAAATTCTATTAAATTAATTTAGATGAATTGAATTCTTCATTCTCAAATCATTTTTTGGCACTATGATTAACAAATCCACGTATTTTTGTATTACCAAAGAGCAAAATTGGAATTGTTGTCCCAACTTTTAATCTTATAGTTTGAATTTTATCTACCAAATGGAGCCTGATGAAAATTCTAGAGTCATGAACAAACAAATTACAAGTTTTACAAATTTGTCTTTTATGGATTTTAAATTAAAATAATTTTTTTATTATGTGAGTACATCTTCTTTCGAATGAGTTGTTAAAATGACAAATTTGTAAATTTAGTGAATTACTATGTATTTGTTTGTGAGTCTAGCGTTACTCTACAAATATAATTGTTGGGTTAAGGAACCTGGGGCTTAGGAGTCTAGGCGGAAGAGTATCGAACTGAGTCAAGAGTGCACCAGTTGGAATCAAGAATATTGTAAGTATTATTGTGCTAATGAGAACGTCACTTCCTCTCTCTTCAGAGAGGGTTTATATACAAACTACAACTGAGGGTTTTCGACCGTTGGTCCAGAATCCGACGGTTCGGGCCCACTAAGATTGGGTTGTTCACCGGCGGCGCTTAATCACATCATTATTCCTAGGGCGGCTATACAAAATAGGTTACAAATAGGGTGGCTAGAACAACTCTGCCAGAGGTGTGACAGGGTCCAATCGTGGGCCCCTTGATCTTGACTGATTAGGCAGCCCCCATGTCTATGGTTCTGGTCTGCTGATGCCTTGGGCCGAGGCCGAGTACGCATGATCTGCCTCCTGAAGTCCTTTGACGGTAGGCCGGCCGAGGGTGGTCCGAGGCCGATCAAGTCTGCCGGGGCCGAGTATGACTTGATGCAAGGGTGGCCTTCCTAAGGCTTCAGTTTCCTCCTACCTCTGCCCAGCTATGTGGGCCTAGGCACGGTTGGGCCGGGCCGGATACCCCCATTCCAGGGTATCCATCATGAGTCTCATACTTCCCCGGCCAAGTGTATCGAAGTCGGGGGAAGTAATCCAGTACTTAAGGGGATTTGAAATTTGAAATCTTGGCCGTGTATAGGAGTCCCCCACTGCCCAGTCTGAATGTCAATAAAGGTTGGGGAGTGCTCAAAGGCGGCAATATTTTACACGTGTCGGTTTTGAAATTTGAAAATCATGATTGCGTCGTTGGGATATGCAACGTTTCTGTCCTGTCCTCCTGTCGTCTGTTTGTGACGGTTCGTGATCGCACGCGTAAAAACATGCCACGTCTTTCCATAACCACTGCCTTGCTTGGATCGGGTCGAATCCCTTGACATATAAAAGTGAGAAAATTCCCCAAATCCTCTTCACCTCTTGTCATTTTGCGCCGCACATCCGCCGTTGATCCTCACTACCACTCTTTCTTAGTCGTCGTCGCCGTCGCATTTTGCTCAGAAGGTTAGTCCATCTCTCCCTGTCTTCATGGCCTTTTCTGAATCTGCGTCCACTATCCCCGTTGTCGACCCAGCGGAGGAAGCTTTCGAAGAGATGTACCACCTGAATCCACTCCTCCGTCCTGACGGTCCGGTGGGCGAATTCGGCCGCGCCTCGATTTTGGATGCGGTGCCTCTCTGTATGACGGTCGCCGTGGCATCGTCGTCCAGGGCGCCGCCTTCTAGGGCCAGAAAATCGAAGGCCACTAAGAAAAAGACCTGCAATTCCCTGCCCGTTACCGTGCTGGAAACAGATTCCATTACAAATACATTCTGCCAGTTGTTGGATACTGATTTTGACGAAGCCCTTTCTCTTTGTAGGGGAGGGGTATGTGGTACGCCGACCATATGCGACCAATCATGTCTTTTCTGTGGCCTGTCCTCACGCCGAGGTCAGGGAAGAAGAGCGTCACAGAATCCATTCGGGATTCCACTAAGCACGTGTCATTAATGCGTGACGGTCTTCAATTTCCCTTTCATGAGCTGGTGGTTCAATTTTTGAACTTCTACCACCTTCTCTCGAGTCAGCTCAGCCCACATTCTTATTATTGCTTCTCGAGTTTCCTGATCAAGTGCCATATGAAGGGAGCCCCCTGGTCTCTATACTTGTTTAGGTATATGTTCAAAGTCTCCCGAATCGGCCGTCATGAGGGGAATTCATACGCCGTCGTGTCTTCCTAGAGTGAGTGCGGAATGGTCATCGTCCCTATGTCCCTCAAATTGTGGAAGGCAAAATTTGTATTCATCTCTAGTTTTCCTGGGGACCGACACCCTTTTGAGGCAAGTTTTCCCGAGTGTCATTCCTTCATTTGCCACCCTCACCCATAGGCCACCCCGGAACTTCTTGCACACGCGTAGAAGCTCTTGGAAGAGTGCCGGCTGAAACCACCCCACGTGTACACGGTGTGCACGGAGCAAAACCTTGGGAAGGTGGGAATCCTTATCTCTCTCGAGCGACAGTTCGAGTTGGCCGAAGCCGTCCGGGGGGCTCATCCCAAGCACGGTCTCAAAGGGACCGCCCCGGGTCCGATAGCAGAAGAATCGGAGGAGACGGACGAGGACGAGGAGATAGAGGCCGATGAAGAGTCGGGTCAGCCGTCCTGCTCCGAGGATGAGGTTGGTGCGGGGTCCTTTGAAGGTCTGTCCTTTGCCTTAGGATTTTTCCCTTTTATCGCTGATGTTGATTCCGACCTATGCTATATCTTGGCAGGAAACATGCAACGGCTCCAACTCGCGCGAAAAGTCAAGGTGCAAGCCTAGAACCGAGGCCGAGAGGTGGAGACGCGTCGCGGACTGCCATCCAGGGATACCTCGGGGTCCGCTGCGGCCGTCCCTGGCCAGGAGGTGGTTCCGGCCCGGAACTAAAGGAAAAGGAAGATCCTGCTGGCCGAGGCGGAGGAAGTCGTGCACGAGCAGTACGTGCTTTTGGCGGATAGTCCCCAAGCCAAACGCCCGGCCGTGCAAGAAGGTTAGAAACTCATTCCCCTCACCAACGAGGATGTTGAGGACGCGCAAGCCGAGGCCGACGCTGCGTCCTTGTCCGCGGTGCTAAGAGATGAGGGCGAAATCCTCTCGTCCTTACAGGAGACCGTGGACGGGTTCCACAAGGCGATGCAGAAGACCGTGCAAGGGTTTCACAAAGAGGTAAGGTTGCTCGCAACCCTTCCCTTCTGTACTTGGGAAAATTAGTTGACTTAGTTTTCCTGGCAGGTGACGGCAAAACTAGGTCTCATTAGCGATCGCCGGTCTCGGGCGGAATTCTCTTTGGGGGTGAATTTCCTGGCCTCGGTGGAGACGGAGCTGTCCCGCCTGAGGAAGCTGGCCAATGCCGAGCATGAGCAGGTGGCCGAACTTGAGATGCAAGCCGTGACAAAGTCGGAAGAAGTGATCAAGCTTCCAAACTTGCTAGAGAATCGGAAGAATCGGCTGCTCAGCTGACTACTTCGATGGCCGAGCTCGAGGACAGATTGCGCCAATCCGAGGGCCAGAGAGCCGAGATGGACATCGAACTGGCCGAAGCCGTCTCTTTGCAACGCTCGGCCGAAGCGGAAAGGGATCGGGCCGTTGCCGATTTCCTCCAGTCCCAGCCTTCAAGGAAGCTTGCAAGGACAAGTTTGCTAAGTATTATGACAGCTGGACTCAGACCGAGGCCGGTATGAAAAAACTCGGTGATGAGGGGCCCAAATGGCTTGAGGCCGGCGTGTATCATGGAATTCAACTCGTCCTTCGACGGACGAGGAGAGTGGATCCTACCTTTCCTCCACCCGGAATCGACATTCCGGACATGCATGATCCAGACTCGAATGAATATATGAAAGTTACGTTTTAAAATGAATATATATTAATATTTCATTCCTCAGGATTTTGCAAATATAAAAGTTACATTCTAAACTTATTTTATTCTACTGTCTTGGCCGGTATTGTGAGCTACTCCCTCCGTCCTAAAACTTTCTTCCGAGAGCACTATTCCAACTTCACGGGAATTTATATTTTTTGTGTTTTTTCATGGCCTATATGATAAAATAAAATATTCTTGTCACCATTTGTTTTGTTGAACTTTTGATGTAGTTTTTTAAATATGTATGTTTTATTTTTTATTTAAATAAAATAGATTGAAAAAAACTTGAGATTTTTCTTCGTTTTGCGCAATGGAAAGAAAGATATAGGACAGAGGAAGTAGTATATTTCTAAACTTATTTTATTATAAAATGTAGCTATAAGCCTATAACTTTTTTTTTTATATTTCCTTAGTAATTAATTAAATGTTTTCTTCATCTAGAAAAAGAATGACATACTTCATTACTCAAAAATCATGAGAACTTTTATTTGTTCGTGTATTTTCATTGATTATCCGATAAAATAAAAAATTCATGTCATTCTTGTCTTTTAGAATTATTGACGTAATTTTTAAATAAGTAAGTTTTATTTTTTTTATTTTTATTTTTGTACCAATGTTGAATAATGTTAGAAAATGTCTTGAATCTGTATTCTAGACGTATTAAGATTACGACTAGGAATAGGATTAGGATTATCTTTCCTTGTCTCATATTTATATATGTAGTAGGATTAGGATTAACCATATCCCCTTCCCTATATATATGGCTTGTATTTGTACTCCTCAACACATGGTAGAGAAAATCTGTAATCTGGTGAGAAAATATTGATCAATAATCTGTTTCTCTTCTGTCCGTGGAGGTTACTAACAGGTTGTTAGTAAACCACGTTAAATCTTTGTCTTCTTTCGAGATTGTCGATTGTTCGTGTTCATACTTTCTCGCGTCTGTCATAACAAATTGGTATCGGAGCCTAGTTGTTCAACACAGAACACAAATCGCGAGAAGTTTGTCGCCTAGGGTTTTTGGATCTGTGCATGGTACATTTTGCACCTTGAATAAAGTTAGGAATGTTCCACAGATGACGAAGAATCTGATATCCTTGACTCGTCTTGACAGTAAGGGTTTCAGTTTTGAAGGTAAAGGTGGAGTTATGAGTGTCTACAAGGATTCGAAGGTGGTTCTGAAAGGTATTAAGCATGGTACCTTATATCTTCTATAAGGATCTGTCATTGTTGCATCATCTGAGATTCATAGAGGTGATGAATGTCTTGATCTTGAGGTGGAGGTTCCATCTGCACGGATTGAGACTGTTGATCACCTTGAAGAATCATTTGTTTCTACGCCTCGGTGAGGCGTGCTGCGCCCCGGGAGGGGCAATCTGGGCCCATGAAGGGCAATTTGGGCTTCTGGAGGAGTCATCTGGGCACTAGGTTGGTGTCATCTGCTTCTGTTCAGGTTCCATGAAGAGTCATCTGGACTCAAGGTGGAGTTTGCATCTGTTGGTGTTTTAGCTTGAGTTAGCTGTCCCCATGCACAGGGGAAATCTATTTTGGTGTTTCACAACACTTCTGAACTCAAGTGAAACAATATGTTCCTGTCTTTTAGTGACATTTGTGTCCTTGGTTGGACTTCTGGTACCTATGGTACATCTGGTCACTTCTTGAAGGAAATCTAGTACATCTGTTGTCTTTTGAGGAGATTCAAGTCAAGGTGGAGATTTGTTAGAAAATGTCTTGAATCTGTATTCTAGACGTATTAAGATTACGACTAGGAATAGGATTAGGATTATCTTTCCTTGTCTCATATTTATATATGTAGTAGGATTAGGATTAACCATATCCCCTTCCCTATATATATGGCTTGTATTTGTACTCCTCAACACATGGTAGAGAAAATCTGTAATCTGGTAAGAAAATATTGATCAATAATCTGTTTCTCTTCTGTCCGTGGAGGTTACTAACAGGTTGTTAGTAAACCACGTTAAATCTTTGTCTTCTTTCGAGATTGTCGATTGTTCGTGTTCATACTTTCTCGCGTCTGTCATAACAAATAAAATAAATTTTAAAAAATTAAAATTAAAATTTATTTTGTACTCTGTGTAACAATCTTTTTAGGATAAATGGAATAAAAATTTTGATTTGAATGTATGAACTTTATACATGGTAAGTATGATTCTCACCGGTAATATGTGATTAGAAAACTTAAAAACTAATTAATGATCATTGATGCATGGCTCGTGGGTCTACTGTGTGAACTCCACAATTATTTTGTCAGCCTCTAACTATGGCAAAGTGGCAACCATTTTTTTTCACCTCATTTTAAAAAAAAAACTAACTAAGTCTCTACATTTCAAGATAATCATGCTAAATATTGGAGTGCTACAAGGTATTGACTACACACTTTTAGCACTAATAAATGGTATAGAAATGTTCTTTATTCATTCTCATGGTTTAGAAGTCAATGGATATTTTCTTTTTAACTTTATGATCTTATAGAATATGAAATGCGAAAATTGAAATCAGATATGTGAAGATTAAAGTTTATTCAAAGGTATGTATAGTAAAGCAAAGTTTTGTAAACCCATAGCTAAAGGCGGATAACTATTCTATTTTAATTAAAAAAAATATCCCCTCCAATCCTAAAAACATTACATGTTTTGATTTTTATCAAACGGTGACATTTTTTTTACCATAAGTTAAACGTAATCTAAATAAATAATTGATATAAAAATTTCATATATCAAAATTATATCCTAAGATGACCCAAATACATTGAATTTATATTATAATTAAATATTCTTTTCTCACAATTCGTGGTAAAAAAGAGTCATTGTTTGACAAGAAAAAGTCAAAACAAGAAACGTTTTTATGACCGGAGAGAGTACTCCATAAAATATTAAAATATTCCCTCCGTCTCACAAAACCTTTTTCCCTTTTTTCATCTTTTTCAAAAAAATCGTTCTCATTTCTATTAAAAAGTTACTTTTACTGCTATCAAATCTTAACCTATATATCCACTTTTTCACTATTAATTTATCCATCACATCTACTTTTACTCATCACATTTAAAGGTATTTTTGGAAAGTTAATACCAAAATATACTCTCTTTAAATCTTTTAAAAGTCACTAGAATGATTTTGTGACACACAGGGAGGACTTAAAAGTCTGGATGTGTGATAGAAAACTTACTCTTATCATTAACTTTTCACCTTGATTCAAATGACATTGAGAACCAATGTCATGGGATGACCCGGGGATGCTCCGGTGGCCCGTTCGTAAAATTGACGGTTCCTACACCCCCTAACCCCCGGTAAATCCCCCCACCACGCCCCGACCCGAACGCGCCCCCCACCCCCTTCATTTTTTACATTAGAAAGAAAAATGTGAGCGACAAAGTATATGATCAATTCTTTAAAAAACAAAATAAAAAAGCATTTCTTCCATTCACTCTCTTTAGCCCATTGTTATACATCAAAATTGAATGAATTATAAACACTTCATATATCTACATTAATTCTTTTTTTGATAACAGTAGAGAGATTGATTTTTTAAAAACCAGCAAAGAAACTAAGAGCACAACACATAATACACCAGTAACAAACCCAATGTATAGAAATGGCACTTGCACATGCTACAAAATAAGGTAAAAATACAAACAAAAATTACACACCAAAGATCAACTTGGGACATGGAAAACAGAAGGTGAGAATCACAAGCCCAAGAAGCCAAGCTCAGTGGCTTTCTCCTTCTCAAATGTCTCAAAATACTGATAGATGATTGTGACAGCAAGAAGAATACCGGTTCCCGAGCCGATGGCGCCCATCATGTCCGCCAACACAGTCAATGCGCCGATGCACGACATTCCTCCAAATGCAGCTGCTGTGGGGATGTAACGGTTCAGTTCCTTCTGCAGATTCGAGTCCCGGTGTCTGGGCATCACCATTTGTTGCTCCTGCAATCGTAGTAGTAGTAGTAGTAGTAGTAGACTTGTTGTTAGCACGAGTGGTCATTAAAATCTCCCAAACAAATTTAAACGGAATAATTATCAGATCAAGTGATCTTTGATAGCAAGCATATGCGTTATACGGAGTATTATGACCCCGACAATTTGAGGGCCCTGCGATGCTCTATTGGGGTTGGAAGTACCCCACCGCGGTAACCCTCAAAATGCTAGGTAGTTGCAACCACTTCGGGGCCGATGGAGCATCGTAGGGCCCCAACCGGTTTCATATTATGACACCTGTAAAGCTGATGCCAAAAGAATCATGGTCAAATTTTAATTAGGGTATTTTACAACATGTCATTAGCAAAAAGCATTTGACTTGCTCTTTTCAAAGTACTTACTAATTACGCAAGAAGAAAGAACTCTTTTTTGCTTCTACTGACAAAAGCACATATTTTGAGCTTTTGAGACTCGAGGTAAAGTTGCTTTATCTTTTGGATAAAGAAATGCTTACTATTCTTATATTTTTAAATTTAGAGAAATGAAAAGATACTTGCTCTTTCCCATAAACTTAGGGGCTGTTTGGCAACTTCTGAATCGGTAAGTGCCGAACAAGTAAGAGGTCTGAACTAGTAAGAGGTCTGAACTATTAAGAGCTAGTATATTGCTTAACTATTCAGAGGCAAATGTCTGATCAATTCAGATAAGAGGTCTTAACCATTCAGACTCTGTATAATACTTAACCATTCAGAGGCAAATCTCTTAACCATTCAGACATCTGAACCATTAAGAGGCTGAAACAAACAGTCTGAACCATTAAGTGCTGAACCATTCAGACATCTGAACCATTAAGAGGCTGAAACAAACAGCCCCTTAGTCTTGTACCATTATAAAAGTAGACCTTTATAATTTTAGTAAGGGCTAGCTATTAGAAATTAAAGAAATCGCCGCATATAGAAAATATGTTTTAAAAATTATTTGATAGTTGCACCAAAATTAAAACATCCAACTCGTTTTGGACACTTAATAAAAAATACTTCCGTCCCGCCAAAGTCTTCACACTTTTCCTTTTTCTTTCAAAGAAAAGAATATGTGGCTCAACATTTCTCTCATCTAAACAAATTCTAACCACACTTTTTACTTTTCACCACTTATCTTAAATTCTATGAAGTCAAAGAGTGAACTTATCTATGCGACAGAGGGAGTATTAAATTTATAATAAAAAAATCTTTTTCTGTTGTGGAGACGGCACAAAAGGTAAATATGGTAACTGAACAAGGGAACATGTGGTATTTTAAACATCTGCCCACATAAACCCTACTCATTTAAGCTATGAAGCAAACACACTAATTTATACTCATCTAAATTTAATACTTAAAATCAAACCAAACAAAATCCACAACAGTGAGACAAAATTACTAAATCAAACCAGACAAAATCGACAAGAGTGTTCATTGCATTTTCTTTGATAAACTTAATTACTTCATTTTTAAAATTCACCTACTCCCTCCGTCCGTGAGTATTTGTCCATTTTTGACTTTTCTCGGTCAAAAGTATCATTCTTTCCTTAACAGCTTAAACATAAATTAAATGATGTACGTACTCCGTAATGAGAAAATATCGAAAAGAGACATCTTACCTTAAGTTGCTTGGCTGTTGGATTTAGATTAGGAAGAACACTGCGAAACAGTGTTAAACGAAGAACTCGATAGAATAACGAATCGCGTACGAAACGCTTTCAGATCAAAGTTATTTCGAGGTATACGAAATACTTCAATCGGATAAGACGTTAATTCAGAACAAGCACTCGAGAATATCTATGTCAACCCATACCACGAGACTCTATTTTATAGAGTCGAAAATTCTTGTGATCGGACATGAACGTTCGCGCAAGAAGAAAAAAGGTGCGAGTTTGAATGAAAGGTCTCATGCGGTTGAAGGCTTAATTTCGACGTTTATCCATTATGTACGAGTCCTTTACCGTTTTGGATTCCGGTCACAAAAATCTTAAGGATTTTCTTAAAGAAACAATGTCTGAAAGTTCCCGCGACTGCTGAAAAAGCAAATGTTGTGAATATTTTGGGACGGAGGGAGTAGAATAAATGGGGAAATAACTACTTACATGTGACGTAACAAATTAACAAGAGCCTTAGGTACCTGAGATATGAAATAAAGGTCATTGGATTGAAGAATGAGAGGCATGTTGGAGGTACAGAATAATTTTATTGGATAATAGCCTTGTTGTCCACGGGCATTCTTTGATCTAACAGGAAGAACCACACGAAAACCTTGGAAATAGTTAACAACACAGAAGATCAAAACTGTGGCAAGCAGGTTGGTAACATTAGGAAGATTCTGTTAGCCTGGCCGTTATCTCCCTCGCGAGCAGACAACTAGTCAAGTAGTCAACCACGCGATAACAATGATACAAAAGGCATATCAATAAAAGTAGGAGCATTGATATGAAAGTCATATAAATGAAAATACTAGTATGTTATACAACAAGTATCATTTAATGTGATGCAAAGATGAACCTGTCTCAAGATAGTATAAAAATGACAAGAAATAAATATTCAACATAGTATATTTTAGTACATATTTTAAATGAAAATAAATCAATTGATGAAATAAACTAGAATGGAAAATTTAAAAACTACTTATCTATAAATGGTAAGAATTCAAATAGTCTTGAATAACGATTGTTTTGTAAGGACAAACAAAATAAGATTTAATAATGGGCAATATCTCATCCATTTAAAAATTTAAACTCATTCAAAAGATGTTCAATACGTAAAAAATAAGTTTCACATTTATTATGAGATTGTAAAATAAATGTAATTTTTATCAATATTAGTATTACATATTCCACTGTGATAGAGATAAAATTTTCATATTCAATCCTTTATTGAACTTTATATTCTATTATATGTATTAATTTCTATTATTAAATAATGATCTGAATATAATTTAATAATATAAATGGAGCCGTGCGTTGCACGAGTAAACTAAACTTGTCTGCTTTTGTCAAACATGGCTTGGTAGGATTTGAATGCAGTGTTGTTGACTATGTCCTTCTGAAGTTTGTCACCACTAGAGTTGTGTAAAAAAACATTTTTTTTCTTCTCCAAGATACTTAGAGGTTCTCAGGTTCTTATGGTTTAGGTATGAATTTTGTTGAGAAATTTTACGTCTTCAAGCATAGTTAATGTACTTGTAAAAAATTCTATAAAATAAGATGTAACAAAAATATTTTATTTAATGAAAACACAAGAGTAAACAAAAAATTATCACGAGGCTCAAAAGTAGTAAAAGTGAATCATTTTAGAGTGGAAGGAGTGCGAGGTTTCCACAATCCAAGAGGAAGACCCACTTCAAGACCAACGGAGTACGGTACAGTCTCAATGTCATAACATGATATTCAAACCCAGGGTCAAAAGAATCACTAAATAATACTCCCTCCATCCTAGTTTAAATCGTTTGTTTTAGTCTGCGATGTTTGACCAAAGTTAGTTTTAATTCATTTCATTTGATAATTGGGGTGGAACTAAAAAAAATTACATATTTAAAAACTGCATCAAAAGTTCTACGCAACAAGATGTGACTATCGAAAAAAGGTCTAAAAAAGTGAACAAAATTTGATCATATAAATAGTGAACAAACAACTTAAATTGAGACACAGAGAAGAGTAATAATATGGAGTAATATCAATATACATCATACTCCGTATTTAAAATAATAAAACAAAAGAGAAAGGAGGCATAAGGGGTCATGAAATCTACTCGCAATACAGAATTGCATAAACGGCTAACACAATAATAAGCCACTGGTTTATCAGATACATACACAGAATAGCAATTCCTCTTCAACTAATGCAAGAAACTGATCCAATATCTCTCTGCTTGCTCATTGCTCTTGTGATTCTGCAACACAAAGCAATACTTTGAACAAGATAGATTTGGCATTTTGGCCGTTTATATGCGCTATAGAAAGGCAATAAAACGTGTGCCTCTTTGAATCACCTAAACTCTAAGAGTGGGACTCTTTTGGCACAGATGGCTGACGTACAGCGGGATATTTGAGGGTCCTACAGTGCACCGATAGACCCTGATATGGTTCCTACCTCCTCAACTCATGGGTTCACCGTTATGCTACAATACCTTGTGTAGTATAATGGAACCGGGGGGGGCGGGGGATTTGTAGGGGATGGGAATTACTTCGGGGTCGAACAGAGCATTGTAGGACCCTCAAATTATGACACCCATGAGTGGTGTCAGAACCCTACTCAGATTCTAAAACAAGAATCTTTGACTTTTGAAAAAGCAGACTAAACCGACTTCTAGTCATTTCCCATTCCAAAATATGGACATGGTAAAAAAATTGCATGCACGTATCATGTAACACAACTCTTATGAACTCAAACCACATAGAAGAGTACCGTGTATTGATTCCATGTCTTCCTTGTATACCCCAAGGGGTGAGCCATGTACTGACAGAAGCATCTCCCCGTGTTTGGGAAACCTTAATGTTTTTGGTGTCACCCCAACTGATAAACGGTTGCCATTTTCCTGAAACTAAATTCATGGGTAAAGATGACGGTCAGGTTGTGGCTAAGGTAAATTGTTTCCACCCCAAGGATAATAGCAATCGTCCATCGTATTTAGAAACTTATTTTCCAAGTATGCAAATTTCCCATGACAACAGCAATCGACACCATGTTACTTTTGTTGGAAGAGACTTGCCGTCTTGAATACAAGTCATTTTCCATGGGGCAAACAATAAATTATACATTGAAAACATTTCCCACGGGTTATTATCCTTGAAACAGAGTTGATTACATTAGATTTTCAAGATTTTGCTGTAATTATCAATCGTACTCCGTTCTTGATTCACTCTGGGAAATTTTACGGCTAATAGAGTATTACAAAAAGAAAAATGCAACAAGCAACTCATAAAGATGAATTAGCTACTTACGCCAGGAGTTTGGAAAGGATCCTGCTGATCAACCAGTTGATTTTCAGATGGTTCTTCTAAAACCTAGAAATGAGTGTCCATGATAGAAAAAGAAAATCTAAGAATTTATTGATCATCCAAGAAGAAAAATGCAAGGAAAACATATGCATGAGATAAAGGAACATACCAAACCCTTGATTTGGAGATTTTCAGCACCAAAGACGCATGATTTCACTGCCATAGAAAAATGTCTGGTGATTTGTAACAAGTTTAGACTTTTTTTATAGTGGAATTATCAGCTACTTACTCATACCAGAATTATTTGAAAATCCAAATCTGTCAAAAGGTGGAATCACAGAAGAACGGTGGGAATACATCCGGGATAATCGCTGTAGAAGAGAAGTGGGTACACGCATTTGATCTAGTTGTTCCATTGTAAAGCTACCGTCATCTTTTTTCCATTGCACTTCACAGGCATTATCATTCTTATTTCTCACAAGGACCACGTTTGGGAGGTTTTTGCTGAAAAAATGCAAAACTGGAACTGACAGCTCTTCCTTGCTGAAGCTAGAGCGTAACAACCGTAACATAGTGCGTAGTTGTTCAATTTGTACTGCCTGAAAAGCCCTAATTGCCTCACCTTGACGTTCAGCAAGATCTGAAAAAATATAAGGTACAAAAGAAGAGTAAGGAACCACAATTTCATTGAAGACTATTAATTCCAGTAAAAAACAACAAAATTTCTGATTTATTCAAGTTGATTCTGGTAAACTGGTATTCACCCAATCAAATAACCTCAAGACACCAGTATAAGCTAAAGATGATCGATGGGTAAATAAAACAACAACAACAACAACCCAGGTGAATCCCACAACTCGGTGGGTAAATAAAAAATCATAAAATAAAAAATACAAAAAACATAAATACCAATTAGCTCTGATGATGCATCTTCCTCCTGATTTACATCTTGGGGCTCCTCCTGTTTGGATTGAAGAGCAGCATTAACCTTTGGTCTACCTCTTTTCCTTGGCATCTGCTCTGTAAGATACTGGATGAAAAGCTCTCTCCTAATCTCTCTCTGCTATTTCTTCTAGGCCTGAATGACAGAAAAATGTAAGCGAAAGTGATTGTGAACTACAGACACAAAGAAAGTGAAAAATTCAAATCTGCCTGTGGCTTTTGTTACAAATCAAATACTAGTAATATGAAAATAGCCAGCATTCAGCTCGTCCAATTTAAAACTATAGAAGCATTCCTTGAATCAGGTTATCACTCCGGGCCAACAGAAAAGATGGTGGGCCTTGATAGACATGTCAATCCAATTAAAACAATACAAGTACTTAATAAATTGGGAAATATATCTATATAGTATTAAAACATAGCTAATTTCACCATATGAACTTTATGCTATTCACCTTTCTAAAATCTCTCTACAATTTACTACAAAACGACAAAAATTGAAAGTCAAACATTCTTTGATCTTACATTAAAAAACCTGCCAAGTCAAAACGAGAAGATATGAAACGGAGAGAGTATTAATGTATTATTAATAAGAATATATCAAGATGCTCTTCTTCCATAATTATAGATTCGTAGTTTTTATCTAACCCTAATTCACAGCTTACCTCAGCCGCAAACCAATCTAGAAAAGGTATTGGAAGCGTGGCGGCACATGCTTGGAGTGGCGTGTGGCAAGCGGTGGCAGGGAAGGGGAGGTTTGATGATGGCAGCAGCATGCCTGAGACGGAGAAGGGGTTGGCTTGGTTAGAAGGAAAAAACACTAAGATGTAGAAGGAGGTGGCACACGCGGCAGCTCGGAAGGGGAGACGTGATTGTGGTTGGTTTGAGAATAAGGAAGATCGAAGTCTGAGATTATCAAAGAATAGGGTGGTGGTTGGTGGATTTAGGAAGATCGAAGAAAGCTCAGATTATTAGTGTGGTGCTAGTTTGAGAATAGTATATAAGGACAATTTAGTAAGTGAATAGATTATTAGCTAATTTTCCAGTAATATCCCACAAAGTGGGATTTCAGTAAAATGTGTGTACGCAAACAAGACAACAAAGGCTGACTCTCCATCTCCTTACGCGGATGAAATAACTGCTGATTTGTGAACTGAAGATTAGTTTCACTATGCTCAACTCATGTCGTTGAACTATGTTCAACTCATTTAAAAGAGGTACGACCAACGGGAGTCCCTCTCCCGTTGGTCAAGTGACTTCGTACCTCTGAAGATTCGTTGAACTATGTCCAACTCATTTCATTGAATTATGTTCAACTCATTTCGTTTCAACAGTAAGAGAATGACAAGCGTAATAATTACTTCATAGATAATTAAATAAATCTTATTTGTGGAATATAAAATACTAGGTACCATCCATAGAAAGAGACTGTGTTTTGTTGATAATTTGAGCATATTTTACTAGTGGATTCTTGAGGCTAAAATCTAATAACTACTGTGCTTTAAACTTTAAAGTGGTAAATAAGAGTTGTTAATGTTAAAAATTGATATTAAGAGTTACTTGGTTTGCAAAATACAGAGTATTAGATTACATGGATTATATTTTAAAATACACTGAAAATTGTAATTTTGGTGGCAGAAATTGCCCATTTTGGACCATTTCTGTCACTTTGTAGAGTGGTGAAAAATTGAGTAAAACTGCCCAAGTCACCTTATTATTTACTGAAAGTCTACATATGGCTAAGTCTACAATGACGAATTGTGTTAATAACTACCATATAAATTAGATACCTAACATGACATTTTCCCCTAGATTTTTTATGATGCACAAAGAATTCAAATGCGATTCTCCATAGCATACAACATACTTTTGGGCTTTCAGTTTAGAAACATCAGACCCTAAAACCATAAAAGCATAAGCACACCCCTAATCCATAGAAGCACAACCAGATCCAAATCTATAAAAGCATAACCAGACCCTAATGAACTTCCAATTTGGAAGCATGAAACCTAACCCTAAAAACCATAATCCCCAAATCAGCCAAAAATGGCTAAAATGAACCAAATAAAAACACAATTCTTGAATAGTTTAAACCATAAATCCATACAACTCAGCTATTTGGGAATTGAACTAGTTGGAAAACAGAACTGACCCTGATTTCCGCTTTTCGTTCTCCTCTCAACCATCTAAGTCTCATTGTCAGGTCAATCCATAGCTGGCTTCGAAGATTTGAATAAAACATGAGCTTTTCTCGAACGCTCTGGTTCGGCGGAATCCTAAAATTTGGAGAAGATGTTAGTTTTCCGCTTAGGCGAAGATGGAGTGAAGGAAGAATGTTCCGTTGAAGTAATGTTCCCTTTGCTGCTGAATAAAATTTCAAACTGACACTAAAACTTTACTCACTTTGTTTGTTTAATTTTATTAGAAATTTTATAAAATAATATAGTTTTGTCACCTCTAGTTTTGTAGAACTTTTCATGTAGTTTATTATTATATAAATTTTATTTTAAAATTTTACTCCTATAATCAATTAAATTGAATTGAAAATAAAGTCGGTCAAGGCTCGTAACGGGTAATGTAAAGATCATACATGGACGGAGGGAGTATTTTAAAGGCTCATATTTTTGCATTTTTTTTAAATAAACTTACTTTTCACTTTCACAGAAAACTAATTTAATCATTCTGCATTTGCGCGAGTTTTGGATCCTTACAAAGTTAATGGTCACTTAACGGATCTTTTAGAAAAAAATCCGTTTTTCACAAATAAATGAAAGACATGATTATTTTAGATAAATTCTTTTTTTATTTTTAAATTTTCAGTTTATCTTTATAAAAATATAATAGTACATTCTTGTTAGAAATTTTTTTCACTTTTTTAAAAAAATATAATGATTCACAAATTTTATAATTCTGTTTTGGTGGGAAATATTATGCTGGATTGGTTATCGAAAAATAAATTGGAGTATTGCTCGAGAAAGAAATTAAATACAAGAAAGTTATACTTAGACCTTAGTTATAAAAATGATTAGTGTCGTTTTGGAAAAAAATTATTGTGCAATTTTCACAATTTTTGATTTGTTATTTCAGAGAAAAATTTGTACTGAATTATTGAAAAAAACTAAGTTTTGTAGTGTGATTTTGAAAAAAACAATACGAGTAATAGTTGATTATCAATAAACATTTCGGAGTATTGTTCATGAAAAAAAATTATAACACAAAAAAGATAATGTAGTGAGTTTTAGAAGTAATAGTTCCATGTCGAAGAAAAAATTATTATGTCATTTTCACAACTTTTGCAGTCTTGCGCATAAAACATTTATACTGAATTATTTTTAAAAAATCACAAGTTTTGTAGTGACAATTTTGAAAAATAATAGTATGCTATCAAAAAATTATTCGAACTGCCGCTCCAAGAAACAATTACTTGGAAAAAGGACTAAGCTAAGAGTAAGATATGAAGAAAATATCAAAATAAGAGCTCCATATTTTTTACCCCCAAAATAGGAATTACAATGCTAATAATACTAAGGGAAAAAGAATAAAATAGGGGTAAAACATTGAAAATATATCAAACTAGGACTTTCATGTTTTTATTCTCGAAATATAAATTTAAATACATTTACATTATCGAACATGATAGTGTAAATTACCAAAAAGTATAGTAACTTGCACATGTACAATGTCACATTACAACCATATTACCACAATTTTTGGGAATAAATGTTAGACGCCTCGCACACCTCTAGAGGAGGGGTGAATAGAGGTGTTGCCCAAAAGACCGGTTTTTTTGTGCGGAAACGTTCTTCACGAATATTCAACAAAAACAATGCACCACAAACAAAATAAAGTGAAGGATAAGAACAATGCACACACGATATATACTGGTTCGGCCTAAATGCCTACATCCAGTCCCCGAAGCAATCGTGCCCAGGCCTTCACTAACCCGTCAAACTTAACGGAGTTTGACAATCCGAATACAACTTGAGAACTTGATTTCACAAGCCTCTTATCTTACCACCGAAGTTTTGATTTCACAAAACTCAGGATTTCTTCCACCTAACGTTTGATTTCACAAACCGTTAGGATTTCTACCACTTGGTGTAATCCCAATACCAAAAATACAAATCCCTTACATTAAAGTAAGAAAACAAACCGCAACCGAGTAATTCTCCCAACACGGAGTAGATTGTTGCAAATACAATGAAGTCCTTTAGAATATGGCAATATCTCTCAAAGACTCAAGCAATGAGGAAAAACTCAAGCAAGAAATGATTTAGCAATCAAAACAATTGCCTTGCTTGGATATAAGGAGGGAATTGAGTAGAATCTCTTTGGATATTTAAAGGATATGTTCTTCAAAGTGTTCTAAGTGTTCTACTGAAGATAATCTCGAAAGTAGATAGTTTATAGAAGTTGGGAGTGGATAGGGATGAAAAGGATTCAAAAAACTAGCCGTTTGGTAGTTGAAACTGTCGACTTATTCGAATAACTCAAGAACTATTCGAATAGTTTGGATCAATCGCGTGGCTTGAAAAAACCAGTTCCTATTCGAATAAATAACATAAATCACAATTTATTCGAATAAATCAGGGTGAAAAGCCAGGACTTATTCGAATAAGTGGTGATTTATTCGAATAAATCAGGTTGATTTCAGCAACATGAAAGATCACGACTTATTCGAATAAACTAAAGATTATTCGAATAGAAAGGCAACTTCCCCACACAAAGGCTGATCTAAAATGAGTTTTAAAGGTAAGATGATAAGAGAATGAACCTTAGATATGCCATACTCTTTAACACATAATCTAGGACCTAAAACACTACCCAACTAAGGAAACAACCTCTTCGGTCTCGTTCCTTCCACCGATGCTCAAGTCCCTTCTTCACGGACGGATATGAACTTGTTGTAGATTTGATTCTTAGCCTTGATGCACAAAATGATGATGATGTTTTGTCACCCTTTTGTCATTATCAAAACCTAAAAGACAATGGGCAAAGGACATTGCAAAAATACATATTCATGATAGCACATTGTCCAACAATAAAAATATGGAACCCCTATTTTGATACGTTTTTTATGTTTTAGTCCTATTTATGGTGATTTCTATAATACTAATATATATTACGAGTACTAAAAAAGAATGAGATATCATCACACATCGTCATCATGTAGTATGCAAACTTTTATTTTAGAGATAATAAAATATGAAATTTCTATTTTTATAGAAAATGCTATGATTTACTCCTATTTGAAATAATTTCTTTTGCAACTTGCAAAAAAATATACTCCGTACTAAGTGTTTCTCTGTGCTTATAAGCCGGTCAAATGCTTATAAGCTGCTTTTGAGTTATAAGTCAGCAGATAACATGTTTCTGTATGCTTATACTTATATGCCATTTATAAGCTAGAAAAAATAAGTAGATTTTACCTTCATATTTTTAAGTCACTTTTTTCATTTCTCTATTTTGACCAGGTTACTCATCCATTATGAATATCCCCAAATGACTTATAATAGTATTTTTTAACTTATAAGAGCATCTCCAACGGGAGAGCTATTTTTTATCTTCTATTTGCCTTTTTTGCTTTCCAAGAGTGTTTTAGCAACTCACTTTTTTACACTCACTCCAGCCATATCATCTATATTTTAACTTTTTATAATAAATTAATATCTTTAAATTATATTCATTTTCTGAATCCGCTAATTGAAGACCGTCAGGGGAAGAATCGCCGCTGCTCTGCCCGATGAAAGAGCAAACACAGTTGAAGATATAGGATTCGGGAACTAAAAATGCTGAAAAGGGAATATAGAAGATCTACCAGAACCTTTCATTTATAAAAGCTCAAACACCAATTATAGAAGGCGTTCTATTTTATGAAAGCTCCGTTGGAGCAAGAAAATTGCTACATTATGGTTCTTAAAGTGTATTTTTTAGCATTTGAAGGTCCCGTTGGAGATGCTCTAACCAGTTTATAAGTTAAAATCAACTTATAAGTAATACGTCAATAAACATCAGCACAGAGAAACACTTACATAGTGAGTAATGGAGTAAATAAATAATTTGCTCCATTTTGTATGATAACATATTGTGTAATTTCATAACTTTTGTAATATTAGTTTGGAAAAATATTTATTGCTAGATTATCGATTATCAAGAAAATAATCTAGAAACAACACTTAAATTTGGTACGAGTATTATTTAGAAAAACATTTAAACATTTTCTAATACCACCTTTCATTTATTTACGAAAAGCATGTATTTTCTAAAAGATCCGTTAAAGGACCGTTATCTTTCTAACGGAGACCCAAATTTCGCACGCATGCAAAAAAAATGAGATTATTTTTTGTAATAGTGAAAATAGTGATTATTTTTGAAGAGCCAAAAAAGATGGGATTATTTTAAGTGATTTTTCCGATATATTTTTGGTCTTTTTCTGAAATTATGAATTTTTTAAAACTTTATTAAACATTTTTTTATTAAATCATTTTTATAAAATTTATTTTTTTACAAATACTTCTCATATTTAAAACATAGACGGTCTTTATTTTGATTTGTCTACAACTTATAAATTTTACTTTTGATCCTTCTAATTTTTTTGGTCTATTCACCACTGTTTCTAAGTCATTAAATATGCAATTAACTTATTACACATGTAATTAAATATGCAATAGAATCATCTGCATAAAATTAATAAAAAGAAATGAATTTTGCAATTCATACTTCCTTCATCTCATAAAAAAATTTCACATTTTGTTAAAAAAAAAATCATATTTTGTTATGTCCCAAAAGGTCTTATCTTTGCTTTTGAAGAAGAAATTATGTAATTACACAATTTTTTCCTCCATTACACAAAACAGCAATCTCGTTGAATCTTACGTAAATGGAGTCATGATGAAGTATCAACGGAATATTAATGTTTGCATCTTCATAATTTTTCACATTCTTAAAATACACCCAAAAAGGGAAATGACACATAAAAAGAGCAAGAGGGGCAGTAAGTATGATAAATTCGATCTTGATTAAAAATACACACTAAATAAACTTAAGTGAATAAAAATGGAAGGTCAAATATTTTTTCCGTCTTACATAAAAAAACGTGCTAAATCAAAACGGGTACATATTAGATCACGCCTACTTTTGCAGTGCACTCATCAAAGTTGATAAGAAATCTATTTTAAAAAAAGATGAAAATGTGTTTCTTTTGTCTTCGGCTTTTTAAGCACAAGGGACATCAAAGTGAAAATCACAAGCCCAAGAAGCCAAGTTCAGTGGCTTTCTCCTTCTCAAAAGTCTCAAAATACTGATAGATGATTGTGACAGCAAGAAGAATACCGGTTCCGGAGCCGATGGCGCCCATCATGTCGGCCAACACAGTCAATGCGCCGATGCACATTCCTCCAAATGC